AGTATTTACAAGTGGCAGACAATAAAATGATTTTAGCTCAAATGAAGTGCAATGGGTCCAACAGCTCCATAAAACAAATAATAATTATTTTTATGACTTGATATCTTCAGTGAACAGTATTTATGATTACATGTGCCCTCCTGAAATAATGAATAATAATAATACATTTTATTTATATAGCGCTTTTCAAAATTCTCAAAGACACTTTACAACCGTTTTAAACACATTTTAGATGAATAAATAATCAATGCATACGCTGAAATCTCCTATTGAAGCAGGTGGGGCAGGGGCGGAACTCCAGAGCGGAACGTCCGCTTTTTGCCCACTCAGGTTATTCGCTGTGTCTATAGGTCCGTAGCAGCGTAGGGCTAAAAAAAAAAGGAGTTTGCAAAACGGCTTTCTCCCCAAAGTACACAAGCAGCTATAAGGTCAGACGTTGCAGCATGTGACGGAAGAGTTGGGACCCAGGCTAGTGTAGAAATTGGCCTATTTTAGCAATAACTGCTGCAGAGAAGTTGCCACCTTTTGGCGGCTAGCGGTGGACACAGGTGCAGCTAATTAACTCTACTCCTCCATAGCCACCGGGCTGCTTACACCTGGACCGAGACCTGTTGGAGTTCTCTTTCAAGACCAATGATAGCGTACATTGTTCTCCCAGTTACCGGAGCATTGCCGGGTACCGGCCATTCTTCACTGCATTCAAACCATACTGTTTTCTTGACTGCCACATGAGAAAAAGTTGAAAACAAATCCCATTCTTGCTGAACACCACGGAGCCACGTTTAACTCACGGGAAGGCCCAGTTAGTGCAGCTAGCTGTCAAGCGAGAGAGAGAGAGAACTTGAAGAGCAATACCAGTAATGACCGGAAAGATGTAATCGTCGCAGCTCGGCGCAGACACTCGCCGCCTTCAACTATTCTAATGGTGAGTGAAGCTTATGTTTAACCCCTTGGCTCCGCTGTGCTGCTGTTGTGCTGTTTGTTCATTTGTATGTCACTCACGTCCTTGACTGCCTGCTTTCCTGTGTATGGCCAACGTTGTCGCTGTCCTTGGTGCTGAATCGTGGATGTAGTGATGTGTTGGGAATGCAGAGGCATGTGTCTTGTTTCTGTCTTTTTTTTCTGTGTTGTAGTTGGCGTTGTATATCAATGCCTGTTAGTTCCGGTTTGGTTCCGAATGCCTTTGAACGCCTGGAGGCTTGGCCATTTATTCTTGTTCAGCAGCATCCTATAGGCTGCCTATCTATACACCTAGTTGCTCACATGCAGTGGCTTTGTGTGTGTCCCCCATGTAGAAATCTGAGTGGATATCTGGTTGTTTTATTTTGTTGTGGCTTGGACACTGTACTGTATATATAGATGTTGGGTTGTTGGCCTTGATTCAGCGCGGGCTGGCTTAAATGAAACCGGGGAGAACAGGCAGTTGATCCAGTGCAAGCTGGTGATAACAAAGACAAATAGCCATGTTGCCAGACTACTGTTCAACGATCAGTGGGTGTTGGTGATACTCTCCAGGAGAGAAATTGGGACTGACAAAAATCCTCTCAATCAACCATGCAATCAAGAGATAACGATTAAATCCCTTTGTCTGAGATGTTTTCATTGTATGATTGGTTCGTGCAGTTCATTCTGACTAGCTGATCTTGTTGTTCCCCTGTGTGTTGCCTAATATTTCCTTTTAAAACAACAATGATTTAAGAAAATTAATTGTGCAGATGACTATTGTATTTTCCAGACAGTATGTTGATAATGGATAATTATCATAATGGATATTATATAAAAACCCCAGATTACATAAAATAAGTCCAACAATGTTATAAGAGCACTATAATAAATCACACCTTTTACTTTCTACGTAATCAGATAATGAACACTGTTGGCACAGGAAGCAAATTGGTGCCTGCAGGATCATGCAGTTTGGACATAATTCCAAAAAAACTCTTCTTTAACTTTGAAGTAACTAAATCTAAAGCTTAACTTCACGTCATGATGCATGTTAAACACAGGAAAGTTGGTTTGGCATGAGGAGCAGAGGCAATAGGTAAACCCTTTCAAACATTAACATCAAGGCACACGATAGGTTACAAAATACAATCTGAACACAATTGCCGGAGTTGAATCAACCACTTGCTGACGTAATTCCAAATAAAAGAACATTATAAACTTCGCGAAGGCAGTATTTATTCCAAGTTTGCTGAGTTGCATTATGGTGCTCTTGTTATGCCAGTATCACTAAATTTAAGTCAGAATAACATGCTGTAGTATCCTAGCCACATCGTCTTAAAAAAATGCGAAGAGTTGTTCATGGTGACAAATATTGATAAGACTGCACTGCAGGGTATGCATTTTTAAAGTCGGTGCTATTGCCCGAAGGCAAACACGAAGGCAAGTTCTACGGCAGGTGTTTACAGAGGCTACAGTAATTACAGCAACCCTAACAACACACAGTCCACCGTGCAGACCAGAGGGTGCTTGTGAAAGATGCTGATCTGTACTCTTATGTTTTTAATTTATGTATGACATTTCAGGCTTTCAAACTTTCAGGGGCTGAGGAATTCATTATTGCATATCACCCTTATCTTGGGAGCATCAACATATTGAGCAAACTGGCTTCCTTCCAGATTCATTTGAAAAACAATATTCCCTCTGCATGATATGACTCTATTATATGAAATGCGTCTGCCTGCTATCCATCGATGTGCCTCTTGAAGCTTTTCACAGTGAAATTGTGAAACTAGCCCCCACGTTGTTTTCCAGTAAATGTATGTACCAGGCATTACAAAAGAACAGACTTCAAAATAAAAGTGACCATGAAATGAAGTGTCAGTTCACTCAGGAAGAATATACTTTTGTATTCTTCGGCCTGTAGTTTATTTTTCATACATCTACCATTAACTCCTCTCATGCATCATTTTCCTTCCTGTCATTGCTTTCAATCATGATATCAGCTGGTCTAAACAGCTGGTCTCTGCTATCCAATAGCACGACACACTTTATATTGTTAGTCTATCATCTTGCTGCTGTCTCTTTTTAAGTATGACTGTCTCTCTGTCTGTAGTACATTCACATTGCTGTTACACACGCGCCTCCACCTCCTAATCAGCGCCCAGTCTTCGCAGATTCATCATTTCCCTCACTGGGGGATTGATCTTGCTGCAGCTCAGGGCAGACGGCCCTCTATTACAAATCTCCCTGTGGAGTCTAAGCGCCAAATGTTCTGTGAATGTTCACATTCAGTCAATAAATCAATCAGTCATTCCGTCAATAATGAATATATTTAAAAAGTAAATGACAAAATTAATATATATTAAATAATAAATAAAATGAATAATGATGTAAACTGTATTTCATAGAAAAATTGTATTTGAATCGTTTGAGTAGTATCAGAGTTCAGAATCACAATACACCACCTCAGAACACCACTGTGTTTAGATTAGTTTAGTTTGCTAGAATGATCATGCTGGAAAGCAGGAAACAGTTATTTTTGAAAAGATATGAACATATTGAGATATATATTGTCTATTGCTGCCAAGATTAAACCCATCAAGAAATTATTCATAAGCCATATTGCTAGGGCGCGTTAGGGCTGAGTATCATTACAAAAAACGAGTACCTATACCAATATCTTTAAATTGATACCAATATCACTTTAGCAATAGCACTTCTACCTATTATGTGAATGGAATCTGTCTGGCTAGCTAATTGCACTGCACAGCCCTCATACAGAGTCCTGCATTGTGAACGAGTGTAAATGAAGAAAACAATGTTTATAAATTTCACAAGCAAGCTTTAAAATGGTCACATGGTTGCACTCTCAGTGCACTCTCAGTGCAACCATGTGAAAATGGCCAAGGCCAGGTTTAGGTGTAATCCCCATGTTTACATATGTCGTTGGTATAAGAGTAGTGCACAGCGAGTGGGTTGTTGAGCCACAAAGCGAGAGTGACGGTGGATGCACACATTAAATGTACAGTGCAGTGTGTCATACGCACACACACGCACACACAACAACAACAAAACAGGGACTGATAAGGCAATCTGCCATTCCCCCAGATGGTAAGATTAGGGCATGCATGCCTTAAGATGGCAATAACATATACCATTTGATGGAACCTTTAAACAGCACAGCGTCTCTGAAATAGCAGAGCAATCTGCTTTACCCTTCGTCTCAGAGTGTAAGGTCAGAAAAAAAAGTTGTTGCATGAAATCTGTTCAGAAACTCAAATCCACCTGACAGCCATTACTTTTGTGACTGTCAATCAAGAATGGACCAAATCAGAGACCAAATGGTGCAAAAAACTTACACATGTTGGTGATGTTGAGCTTTTGGTCTTGATTCAGACTAGACTGGCTTTAATGAAACCAGGAACAACAGGCAGTTGATCCAGTGTAAGCTAGTGATAACAAAGACAAATAGCCAGCAATGGCGCCAACGGAGTCACAGACTACCGTCCTATGATCAGTGGGCGTTTGAGGACTGACAAAATCCTTTTCAATCAATTGTGCAATCAAGTGATAGCGATTAAATCACTTTCTCTGGGACGTTATCATTGTGTGACTTGTTCATCCATCTGTCACCCGTTCGAATGTCTGTTGGTGGTTTTGTGGGTGCACAGACTCGCGTGTGACTCTGCTCCAAGCCCCTCAAGCAGGTTTTATGGCTCGCTGGGAAACAATGCGAGGCATGCCGTACGAAAGCTGCATTTTCCCACTGCAAAGTGGTTTAAACACAGCATAATCCCTCTGAAGCCCTTAGCTTACAAGCACAACCTAAATTTTCCGGTCACAATTTTCAATGTTAAAAAAGCAAATAAGATAGGATGTGAATATCTGAAGTTGCTTTCTGTAGGTATGACTACAGGAAAACAAATCTTATTCATCAAGATGCCAAGAAAAATGTAGTCATTCTGTTATTTTCCTTCAGAGGTTTTATTGTAATTTGACAAACAAGAATGGGAAAAGACTTAAAAGCCTTCTTTAAAAGAAAAAAATATATATAATAATATAATGTATTCACTCGAAAATTGAATAAATTATATTATCAGTATCAGACTGATAATTGTACTATAATCTTTAAAGAAACACAATGACAGAAAACATAACTCAACTGTTTTAAGAGCACTTTGTATTTTTTCTGCACACTCTAAGTCAATATAAAGCGATTTTGATGTACCATATTAAACAATGCCACAATTAACAAATGTTATAATATGAATTAACATTATAGGATATCATTCAAATTAATCTAATTGAGTTGAACTTTCTATGAAATATGCAGTACATGAAAAACAGGACAGAAAAGGGAAAACAAATTAGATATTAGTTATCAACTTTTTTTTGCAGCCCAAGCAAAAAAGGGAAAACGTCAGCTATCAGAGTATAGAGATCAACGTTTTATGGGAGCCCCAGCTAAACTAACATGTTCATTAATCAAAACCAAACACTTGTTTTACAGGTTTCTGTTACAACAGGAATATATTCTGCGTGGTTGTTGAAAATACATTCGTCAAGTAAGTTTTGACCTTTAGCAATGCATTTTGATTCTGAGCCAGCAAGAGGACTGCACTTATTGCCAGCGTTGCTACGACCATAGCTTTGGTTGTGGATGGGTACGTGTGTTTAGACGATGGTGTTTGCTTCACAGCATCCTTGACAGTAAGACTGTGCTGAACTGCTTGCTGCTCCTCCTGGGTCAGGGTCATGGGGCAGAGTTCAGCCAGTACTTCCACAGCTGCTCGCTGACCAGCTTGTACTGCACCACTCATGTACCCACACCACAGGGTGGCTGTCTCTGTGCCTGCCCAATGGATCCTGTGAATCAAGAAAATCAGTGAGCCAAATATTGAACACAAAGCCTTATGTTGTTGTTTGAAAAAAACATGTTAATTTAACTTCCCATTGGATTAATTGCATCCCTTTACGCACATTTATAGACTATCTTAAGCTATTAACAATCAGTTGAATTACTACACGTAAATCTGTTGACATCATGTCTGTTCACTGACATTTGCAAATACAGGTTTCCACCAGAAAAGTTGTTGGACCCGGCGGTCAAGTGTGTGTGTCACTAAAATAAGAATAGCACTAGTCCTTAAAGGTCCCGCTCGCCCTCTCTCTCTCTCTCTCAAGAGAGGTAAAGCACGCTAATGTTAAGCACACAGCCTATGCACTAATTGTTCCTTAAAGCAGTCTGCTACTTTTATAACGTATCTTTGTTTACAAAACCAGCTTGAAAATGCTGCTACTCTTTGAATTTCTGTCAATGGTGCCCAAAAACATCAGTCCACAGCCTTTGAGTTGAACACACCGCTGTCAAAGCAGAGCTGGAGTGTGCAGACTGCGGGGCTTTGTTATTGGCAAGATGGTAAAATTCAAAAACAAACAAAAGAGCATAGGTAGTATAAACCACGTAAATATAATAATACAGTATGTCTTTGGAGAAGGTAGTACCGGCCTTACTGAGGGAAGCTAACTGGACTAAACTTCCTAGGTATCTGTTTCACAATGACAGATTATATTCTATGTACATACTATGTATACTATGTACCATAAGACACGTGGAAAACACGGACAGGTTCACAGATTTTTTGCTTGCCATTAATGCCTACATTCCATCATAACTTCAGTTCACATAAAAAAAATATATTTGTTCTATAGAAATAACTGCCCTTTTTAAAAATTTCCTAATTTATATATTGTTAACAATTTTGCCCTATATCCTGTCAAATTGCATTGGTAGCCATTGACATTGTAAATCATTTTTTCCTAGGTGCAAAATAACAGTAGTTTTCTACAACATTGTTTTACTAAAGGTGAGCATTTCAATTTCCAGTAAATTAATATACATTTTGTTGCACCTTGATATACGTCGTATGTCTTGGACACTGACAGGAGCCGAGCCTTCAACTAATCACCACCTGGTGGTGAGTTGGATCAGATGGCTGGGGAAGACCTCTGGTAAACCCAAACATGTAGTGTGGGTATGTCTGGCTGAGGCCTCCGGAAGAATGTTGTGCATCCCGGGGGGAGGCTGGGTACATGGAATCCGAGTGGCCGGGTTTGCCGAAGTCAAACCCCGGGTGTGGGAATAGTTCAGGGAGTATATGGAGAAGGACTTTTGGTTGCCCTCCAGGAAGTACTTTCAAACTGTTAGATAACTCAGAAAGGAAAAGCAGGGCATGGGTCAGGCTGTGTTCTAGTGATATTGTCGAGCACTTTAAAGGAGCTCCTGAACTCAACTGTGGTGTAGAGAGGACATTGAAGAGCTCCTCAACCCAACGTGTGGAGGTTGGGGTCAATGCCTGTGAAGTTACAAGAATTCATAGGACCCTATGTTCTCTGATGGTTTAAAGCAGAATATGAAAATCACAAAGGGATGTTACTATTCAGTAGGGTTAGGCCGGTGTAAAAGTTTTCAAACTGGTTTGATGTTAAGCCAAACACCAGACCGTATTGGTATACTGAATTTTATTACTATGTGTTGCACTTGACTCAGCAGCGACAGTCCGTTCATAAACAAACTATACTATGTTAATCATGTTGTCACATTGCTTATTAGTTATGCAATGCAAGTTGGATTTGGCTCCATGACACCGTGGGCAGGTTGCTGATGTAGGCCCCTTTTTAAATTGCCAGAACGTGTCATAATGACAAATGTCGGTTCAGCTGGTTCACATAAAATCAGACCAGTTTAAGCTCGCTCACCAGACCAGCAAAACCATGGATTTACCCAACACTTTTCTTGAAGGGTGCAAACAAGAAATTGGATGAGCAGTCAGGACTGAACAAAGGTTCAGTGTGTGCCAAAGCTGCAATGAAAAATGTTCAGAAGCATTTTGAGTATTCAGCCCAGCCTACTGAAAGATGCCACTTGAGACTTCATCAGCAGAATATCCAAGAAGAATTCGACCTCAGACTGAAAGGCCTTTTGGCAACATGTCAACAAGCTTGGAGTTTGTAATGCACACCACCTGTCTAGCCACTGAGCTTTAGTAGCCTGATTGGTCTCCTCAAACCGATCCTAAAAAATGAGTTTGTTGAAGATGCCTGACGTCACCCCAAGTGTAGGACCTTCCACTGTTACACAGGATGGTAAACTTTTGTTTCAGAGTGCTCTGTGACAGATTTATACAGCAGTGGCTAGGCTAGGAGTGACACAACCTAATGACCACTGAGACTTTACACAAATGATAACGAATAAGGAAAGCAATGGTTTCACCAAGTATGGTAATAAAACATGAAAAAGGCAGGAGTGGTGTAGGGAGAAATCAATCAACTCAACCAGAACAGCAACATACATTGCAGGTGGTAGTAAACGGTATAATGAGCAGCAGCATAATACTGAGAAGAGTGAGAGCTTGTCAAGTTTAAAATGACCACTTTGTGTTCTTGATTAGACTTGTGTCTTGTTTAAATAGGTGATTATACGATGACTTGGGCTAAGTGAAGCTGACTTTGGTGCTCTGTGAAAATGAATGCAATGCTTTGTTTTTGTAAATTGTGGAGAAAGGTAAAGTGTGATTATGTTGGTCTGCCATTTCAAGTCTCCAACGTGAAGGATTTCCTGAAACGTGCACTGGATTAATCTAATCTGTAAAACCAGGAATAAAGATAAAAGAATCCCTCTGAGCTAGTGGGATATCATTTTGACCTCCGCTGTATACAAACTGTCCTGTGTTCAATTTAATCACATTTCCCAGTGGGCTGAGTCAGACACTGTAACAGCAAATGAACAAAATGGATTTAGAAAGAAACCGGTCCGCATTGTTTTCACTTTAAACACAAATACAGACTCTGGGAAGATCATCAACCTTTCTCAAGCATTTTATCAGTGATCCAAGCAGTCTGTAGAATAAACTGGTGTTACCCGTTCTAAAATATGTCTGTACTGTATATGGAAATATGAAGTGTCTGAGTGTAGTCTTTTTTTGCCAACACAATGCACCACTGTGTTTGATTATATGGTAGTTCTGTCACTTTCTCTCAGGTTCAGCTAAGACTCAAGTGCAGACAGACACGAGGTGAAGTTTAGAAATAAGAATCTTTACTGGTCATCAAAAGAGAAATAAACAAAAACTTAAAGCGACTCCAACAGGGAGCAAGCAAAACTAAAAAAAGGCCAAGTCACAAAAAAGGCAAAGTCACAAGAAAAAAGGCAAAGGTGCAAACACGAGGACCAAACGCTAGAGCACGGAGCAGACACGAGGGAGACACAATGCTGGAGCAGACAGGGGAACAAACAAAGACTATCTGACAGCCAGAACAGGGAAAGCAGGGGAGTATATATGTGTGGGGTGAAGAGAAGATTGAAGGCAGCTGGGTGGACTGGGCAGGTGAGTAGGATGAGTGCAATCAGGGCAAACACACACACAGACACAGAGACACAGGAACACAGGGGGCAAAGCCTAAACTGTGACAGGTTCAACAGATGTTGTGAATTGAGATCTGTTGTAAGAGTGTTTGGTGTTCTTGCAATCGGTTCCTCACTGCTCCGACTGTACAGTCTTGTCAGTAGCATTGCCAATGAGACATATGACACAATCATCTCATCTCTTTTAAATATATTTCCCTAAAAGTCAGATTGACAAAGTCCCACTAAATGTCTGTGTAGCGGATATTATTGAAAACCTTTGGTGTAAGGATCATGAATCGATATTTCGAGATGTTCATGTGATTCACATTAAGTCACAGCCTCACTTCGGTCTGATGCTTAGTGGTTGTGTTCTGTATTTTGTACTGATATATAATTGCCTGTTGTATGAGTGGTGGTACAGATTCAATTCATGCAATTCGTGATTTTATACTTTCGGCCCTTGTATTGGCATATCACAATCACAATGTTGGCAGGATGGGGTCCTCTCAAGTCTGTTTCATGCAAATTCTAGAAGCAGTGTGGCTGCAATGAGTCTGTTTCAGAGGACACTATGTGGAGGAGATGTGTGCAGCAGGTCTGTGGCTCGTGTTCATCACATTTGACCTCTTGAATGCTGTTTCTTTAAGTCCATACTATGGTGCAAATGCTCTGTAGGGATCAGGCTTCTAGACGTAGTTGCCAACAGATCTTCGGGTCAGTGCTGCGATTAATCCTAAAGAACTTCAATCCATTTCCTTCATCCGCTATTGATCTTTCAAATCTTGAACACTGACCTGACTGAGCTGACCAAGTAACCTACTCTTGCAATAACTGTTTGTTTTTTTTGGCCATCTGGGGGAAGTGTGAACTCAACATTGACATACCATCACCTCATTAAGTTATATGAACAACTTGTCAAACATTCTATCACTGTATCTATGTTTTCTGGCTTTCACCAACACCAACAGCAAATATCTGGCACAGTAGCTGCTCAATGCTCCACTACGTTCACCAGCTACAGTAAATAAGTGGGTTGAAACTCACTCTAAAAGTCAATACAGCTGAGGGGATCCACAGACCAGGGTGACAATTCTTGTCTTTTGATAAATTGTATTTCTAAAGATAACCATACTCTCAATTATGATCTAATCTAAACAAGTTAGTACGGATTGTTGGCAGTATGTGTTTGGTATTATTAGTATTTCTTATAAATCAAAGATTGTATGGATGTATCAGCATTGATCTTAGCTGAGTGCAGCTCAGATCCCTAACCATGTGTAGACAGCCATTTTGATTCACTGCAAAAGATCTGCACATAAATGGCCCAGTGGAGTACATTAAGTACTTAATACAAGACGTTATGCAACGTCATGTGTTTGTAATGATCATTTCTTGCTGAGATTTTGTATGTTGGTGTGCAGTCAGGCTTTTGATGTACACATTGGGATGTAAAGATCTGGCATTGCCCCTTTAAGAAGCAGATGTCTGTAAAAAAATGATTTCAACATATTGTAACACTACTTCTTTGGGGCTCCCTGGGGAATCATTCTAGTGTTTCAGGATGAGGAGAAGAGTTGCTGCTGCCCTTCAAAAGCCAGAACGGAGAAGGACTAATCCTGAAATAGCTGAATGGATCCAAACTTCACTGTGTGGTCACACAGGGATGAAGTGCTAAGCCTGTAAACCTCTGATGGAGAGCTCCACTTATAATTATCAGTTAGGTGCCATAACTAGACTTGTGGCAAATCATTGTTATTCTCTGCACCAATTTCTGAAATAGCAAAATACAAAACGTGATGTTGTAACAAAAAAAACAACAGTATTATACATTTTAAATGGATTCTTCTTTGACTCTTTGTATCTTAGGTTGACTGAACAAATCCTTCTCTGTTGGTAGTAACACTCCACAAAATATGATGAGCACCTCAAACAACCATGTTTTGGTTTTGAAATATTTCAGCATCCTACAAAGTTAGCGCACAATTTATTCTGCATGCATGTTGTAGTTGTTAACTCAGTAAAGCATGAACCCACTGGGGTCAATATATTCTGACTTCTTGTTTTTTTCTTCTCACTCATTCTTGTCTCTTCTCTCTAACCCCAACTACAATTGAGTAGGAAGGTTTTCTGTGTAAAAATATTTCATACTGAGCACTCAGACATAGTACCCACTGAGGATTATGATTTTTGTTTTTTAAATAAAAACAACACTGTATTGAGATTCATACTTTCCCAAACAAAATTCCATAATCTACCAGACTCTACTGGAATCTGACATGCTATTATGTACATTATGTTTGAAGCACCAGCAGCAATTTTGTCAACCGAGCATGGGCTTGTCTTCATTACACGTGCTGGGTTTGAGTCAAAGTCACAACGTGTCCTTGAGGATCCATTTTCTATATGGGGTAGGAATGTGGATAAGGGCTACTGCCCCATGCTGCTGATTGAGTCACGTTATGTGATGAGCTTCCTCTGCTCCCCACAGACTTAATGTCATTATGGAAATACATTACCTGCATCCTCCTCCCCACCTCTCGCTCTCGTTCTTTCAGCTGTGTGCATCTCTGAACAGGCCATGAGAAATGGATTACAGGAAGTTTTCCTATGAGGACACCATTGCTGACGACCTCCTGCCATTTCTTTAGAACTGGACTAATGTGTATCAATCAGCGAAAGGCATAATAACTCCCACGACTCGTGTCAATGATTTGTAGGCATTATGTGCTCGTGAGTAATACCAGGTTGGCAGGGTACAGTCATTATTTCTGTGATATAAATATAGCATGATCATCCAGCATCCGCAGTCACTATCTCACTGTCATCTGGTGTAATGATCCAATGTACCGGACTATGAACTCCAAATTTAGGTTAAAATGTTTAGAGACTCACACCGGTTTACTCAACATCCTACATTAGTTGTGGTGGGAGCCCGGAAGAAAGGTGACTCTTTCGGGTCTAGGGAGATGGAAAGGTGTGATGCTGTGGTGTATTTGTCATCAGTGGGGTGATTACCTGCCACAGGGCTTCCTCAGGCTAGGGTGGTAATAGGTTAGCAGACCTGGTGCCATGACATTAACAGGGCAGCCCCCGCTGTAGTCCTCCTTAGCCCAGTCCTGTAAAGCAGCAGAAAAGTGACATTTACTTTAATGGCACAGTACAAAATCATTGCTTTGTTTCAATCAACAATCGACAATTCCCGAGTCTAATTTAATCTGAGCACATTGCACAGCCCCCCACCCAACCTCAGACAATACTGAAAACTGTGCACCCCCATTGTCCGTTGTTATTTAGCTATTTTGAGTAAAAAAATCTAATATTATCACATAATAGAAATTGTTGTGTTGTAGGTTTGTATCACATGACTTGATTCAAAAAATGTACACAAATATTAAATAAGTAACTGTTGGCTCGTCAACATAAACTAGATGAGTGGAATGAAAAACTTTGATACCCATTTGGCTACCATAAAATCTGACCAAATATGGTTTTTTTTCTCTTCACTAAGCTCTAGTTATTGTTGTTCTATAAAAGTATGTTCCCATTGAGTCCTTACAAAGTGAAATCGTGATGTCTCCCCCAACAACACTGCCTTGAGTTTCCTCAGGGAAATTTTCCTTATAATCTTGCCTTTCAACAGTGAAGTGAGTTGTCTGGGGACTAAAACCATATGTCTACATGACTAATATGCCATTTCACAGTCAGCCTAGGTATGGTGTGCTTCATTTAATGGAGCTACGTAGCTATTCTGTACAACATTAGGAATGTAAAATATCTCCTCTACTGATTCCAGTAGTAGTAGCGCTCTTAGAAGCTCGGGCTGCACAACATATTGGTTTTGTTGTTTTTTAATCTCCCGCGCGATGTCAACTTGTTGTGATATTAACTGCAATATTACACTTTAAAGATAGCAACAATGTGTTAAATAATATCTGTCTGTAGGTGCTATGTTGTCTGATACGCTTAATTCTGTTAACTCTCTAGCCAGTCAAACACAGGCCTCGTCATTAGGCAGGGTCCAATGATAAGGATTACCCTAGGCCCAGGTACAGTAAAAAGTTATGTAGGTTCAGTAAATACAACCAGCAAGTTGCCGGAACAGGCCAGTGCTCCCAAAAAGTGAGTGAGCATCATTACTACATCTGCTCTACTCACCGAGACTTCTCTCTGCTCTGCCTGTCTGTCTTCGTGCCAAAAACTGCAGTTCATTAAATGGCCACTTGAGGCTGGCTCCAAAAAGCGAGTCCATCCCCATAAAACCCCATGTTAAAAGGCCCAAATCTACAGCAGAAATAAACATGTTTACAGCGGAGCATATTGCCAAGCTTCTTACTAGCTTCTGAGCCTTATCTGCATGAATATGGATTAACAACTGCATTGCTGGAATACAAAGTTAAGGTAATATATCAGGTATGTGATCAGAGGTCTTTGCTAGACCCAACTTGGCCCCGTTTTTAAAATTGTTTTGCGTTGTAATGTTAGACTACACTGTAACCATTATCAAACTAAAGCTTACTCGCAATTATTTTTTAGCAACTAGTTTTCTAAGTCTTTAAAAAATAAATTGGGTTCAGTTTTACTGACAGATATGTAAGCCTTTGCAACATAACATGGCTTTCCTCACTGGGATACAGGGTATATAATGAAACTATAAATTTTGGCACCTAAAAAATAATGCCTCAAACCAAATTATTCTTGTTTATTACAGTAGACATCTGCCACTGAACTACTTACTTTTTCTTCATAGTGGATGAAAGATGCAGCCTCACAACCTAGGTATTTAACCAGACTGGAAAGCACAGCTTCTCTTCTCTTCCCACCCTGCGAACAGAAGGAAATGCCTGTGCCAACATGATACTTACATTACCCTAGCTCATCACAATTATAACAGCCGGCTGCAAAAATATTAATGCGTATTCAAGAAACCAATCCAAGCTGGACAAAGGAAGCAGCAGCCAATTTGAATAAATCAAGCATGGTCAACATCCTGGTGAGACGTGGTGAGTTATGTACTGAGCAGCTGAGGCCTGAGGACCAAAAGGACAGATCTCCATAAAACATGCTGACGTACTGTATGTTGCAAAACTGTCTAACTAACTGTCTTCATCTGCATGTCACTTTACCTGCATTTTCAGCACACCCTTGTGCAATAATTTGGAGTCTCTTGGTATAATCCTTCCATAAAAACCAAGAGTCAATTGAAGCATGGTGCCAAATTGCTTTCTATTGGAAGTTTATAAAAAGAAAAGATCTCACTGTTTATTTGCTGCAGGACTGCTGATAGTGTCAGCTAAAATTCCAATAAAAACTACATAGGAAAATGCCATTTGATAACTCCACCTGTGCAAACCAAAAACAATCAACACATTAAAAGTTCAACATAGTGAATCCAACCAAGTACACGGTATGAAAAAAAAGGATAATATATACCGCTGAATGCGACTTAAACAGCACAAAGAGCGTATAATTGGAACCTTGATGTCCACTTTCCTCTCTTTAGCTGTGAAGTAGCATGTGGAAGTTAATTATTTAGCACTTTGTTCTTCATGGCACAGCAGGGAGACGGCTAAGCTTGAGCTCTGTAGCAAGTCAGGCTAATGACTGAAATGCCAAAACAACACTAGAGACAAGGCTAGGTGTTATTTGTCTTTTCAGGTAAAGGGAAAGCACTGGAACCCAATGAAAATGTCAACACAGTAGAAAGCAAGGAAAGGAAAGAGGAGAGGATGTAGGTATAGCGCGGGAAAAGTGTGTATTGAGTTAGTAGAAGCAGAGTATGTGAAATGTGACCTTATCAATCGGCAACATATGGCTATTGAGCCTGCTTGAATCCTACCAAATCTGTTGCAAAAATGAGTTAATCACCTGATAGTGTGCTGATTCTATAATGTAATAATTCAGTCCAGTGAAGTATGCATGCATTACTGGTTTACCTATAGTCGATAACCATTAGCCATCAAGTTGCAGAGTCTTTGTTCCACCTTCTATAGTGCAGCTATAAAGTCTTTGTTAACAAAGCAAATCTTTGACACTTCAGATATAGAGATGTCCAAAAACTACATCTGTGCCTGGTGCAAATAGTATGGCAAAAAAGAAACATAAATACAATTGAAAGACTGTAGCATTGAGTTGAAAAAACCCTTTATTTTCTGTATTTAGGAAAGTAATAGTTATTGAAAGCATGACCACTGTTCTCAGTCTATATGATGTCCTATTCTCGCACACAATTTTAATATTGCTACCCGTGAGCATTTTTTTAAATATTTGACAACACGTAGATCTATCATTAGTGTTGGGAATTCTTCATATTCAGAGACCTTTCGACCTGGTGCTTGCGTGATCCAGCCATTATTGCACATTTGATTTTTAAATGTAGGGGCAGATGTTGTTATCTTCATATTCAGAGACCTTTATTTTGAAAATTAGTTTTTCTTTTGTGATCACAAGTTGTTTCCGCTTTCTTTACATTCCGCTTGTACTTTTTTCCATTGCTATCAGCAGAAGTCCAGTGCAAAACTCCTTAACGATGTAAGTTATAGTACAACTGCTATACTGTTCATATACCTAATTTCTCTCTCTGCATTTCATGACATTGCATTGTTTAGTTGATAGTGTATTCATTGTAACGTGGTAATGCCGGTAAACAGTTGTTTAAGTAATTGGCATGTTCAGAAACTAGCCTCGCTAGGTACTAAATCACTGGCTAGCCTACCTAGTGTACACACAGTTAATGTGAGTTTCAATGTGTGGGATGATAACAATAGTTGTTACTGCAACAATTGCTGTTTATCAGGAGAGAATGCAGATCTTATTTTCTATTATTTAGTAAAGTGATACAGGATTTAGTTAATGCTGGCTATCAAGTTCAAGATTAGCTCTTGGTAATGGAATCTTTCATGCAATTCCACAAGTTGTGCCTATCTAGCAAACCACAGCTGATATCCATTATCAACCTAAGTACAATTACAACATATCAACTCGATGATGGAAAAAATCTGCATCAATTATTTTTCTCATTTACTATTTCTATGCATTAACATGCCATTTTAATGAATTACAATGGAAATTCGAACTGATGACCAGGGGAAAAGCTGTGTCATAAGCACATAATATGACATTTTCAAATTATAGATAAAGACTAATCATTTAAATCTGTCTCCACATTGATAACCCATTACCTCCTCGGAGCTCCATTGAGAAGCCTGCTGGCCGGCAATGAAGCCTACCAAGGCAGCATTACCACTGGGGCTGGTGGCATCAAAGGTAACACAGAATGGACACCCACTGGAGGATCCTGCCACAATTTCCCCAGAGAAGCCCTTCTCCTTCCAAAAAGCCTGTAGAGAAACAGAGCTAGTTCACAGCTTCATCATATATCAGTGGTTGCAGAAGCACAAAACCCATTTAGAAATCACTTGCATTATTAACGGCTGTTAAGTTATATCGAGTGCCATCTCTTTCTCTGCAGACCTCTACCCAAAGGGATTGAACTGCACCAAAAAGTTGAATATAACGTTATTTTCACACAAAGGTTAAAATAAACGCAGCATTCACAATTGGTTCACTCACCACTTTCCATAAACTTTACTGCTGAATGTTGAATTTCAACATTTTCTTAATTTGCCTTAATCTGCCAGCATTCTTAACATCTTGCACAGCAGCTGGATTCTCGCAGGATCACAAGATCACACGAAAATCCATCTTGGCAGGCTTCAAGTAATGCGTTTTTTGTCTGGATTACCAGTGTCCGGACCAATCAGCTTCCTGTGAGGAGTTACTGATATCTACGAGTGTGGTTTAGGTGTGTGTGACGCGACACGTAGAAGATGAGCAGTAATGACGATGAAGGCATTTCTCAGAGAAAAATATGTGTTTTGCTCTTCTCCCGACTGGCTTTGGCAAGAGTTGATTGACAGAGGGTTCATCCAAACACCTGCTAATTGTTTTTTTTTTAAAGTGCTTGCCCTTTTCCAAATAGTTTCCAATGACAGCTTCTCAGATGCTTCTCTATGACAAACCGTTATATGGCGCGTCAGGTAAGCATCCTTGACCAAGCTAATGATTTCTGGTCACTGCGTGTTTAGCACAAAACAGAATCTCTTCAAAGGGATCAACACTATTAATAGTAACTTTGTGAATTTGCAAATAAAATGTTGAATAATATAACCGCATATAATGCAATTCGAAACATCTGTTCCATTGTCTTATGTGTAAGCCCAGAAACCACTATCAGCATATGCTGTTCTCCTAATTAAGCTTAAACAGCAACACTCATCTAAAACAATTGGAAATGTAGACTGAATATATTTCAAACTAACCTTTGATGATGTTAAGCATGCAAGTCACTTTTAGGTGTTAAGTCTTAAGTCTAGCTACATTTTGCATGTGTTAGATAGGAACAATCATTTTCATAGAGTGAATAGAGACCACACAATACATGTACTTTTATTATTGCTTTGCAGTGGTTACAAATCAAAGTAGTGAAAAAGCATCTGAACTATTGTGTTATGAGTTATGAGTGTGTGGTGTGTTTTTTATGGTTTCTGTAGAATGAAAATGATTTTATAACTGCCAGGTCAAAAATGACCCCTAACACATGATTTGTACCCTGTAAGTGTACAGTTTTTATGGAAATATGAACAAAGGCAATGTTTAACTTTTTCTCATGTTGGGGTGATTCTAGGAAAAGTCATTGAATTTCAAGTTGAAAAAAGATCATTAAGGGGGTTTCCTATGCTGTTAAACAGAGTGGAGGGTAATTTTTGACCCCTAAGACGACACAAGGGTTAAGATGTGCAGATCCCTCAGTATGTAGCCTGCCCGGGAAGCAATGATAAAGTCTTCCCTTCTCAGTACCTTTTAGTACACAAACTGGTGTCTCACTTAAGGCTGGGGTGTTTTGGCTCATATGTATATTTTTTACTCGAGGTCGTGTTTTTCACTGCTCTGGGTTCCTCTGGTGTGGTGAATTCACAACCAACTCACACTCTTTCGATCCTTTGCATGATATTACAATTTCTGATATCACAGTAGATGCTCAAATGTACTCCATCTACCTTAAACATTCAAAAACTGACAGGGACGGTAAAGGTTTGACTGTTATTGTACTAACCAACACTGCATTTTGTCCTCTATCTTCTATAACCCTGTACCTGCAACAGCGTCCTGTGGCGCGAGGCAAGACAAACCCTTGTTTCTGACCGACAAAGTAAAAGCCATATCAAGGCTCTGATATGTGAAGGCACAACCCAACTCTGTCTCCGCAAACGATGTGGGGTCCCTCCTCGCCTATACAGTTCTCACTCATTCCACATCGGTGTAGCTCCGCAGCTGTTTTTGTCCCAGCATCCACTCTGAAAGCTATGGGTCAGTCGTCTTCAGTGGTCCTATTAACGTTATGTTCACCCAGGAATTATGGAGATAATCGCAGCTCAATGAGTGCTACCTTGGAGACTAGCATTAGTACCTCCATGCATGATAATAAATTGAAAGTGGTTGGCTGGGTTTCACTGCTTGATTTAGGTAGTATGACCTCTCTTGGGATGCATGCCTGCATCCCTCCCATGAAGTTACACCTGACAGCTGAGGTCTGCAGCAGGCTTGCTGCTACACATACTAGATATTTCACATAACAGTTTTGGCTAGTTGCTTGGCTAATCTAGGGAGCATTTTAAAAGCGGAGCCACCAGCGCCAAGTATAACTGTATTTTCATTTGTTGCAATAAATGGATACAAATCTACAAGAGTGCTCCTGACTGAACGGCCACTTGCCAAATAAATATGGTTCAGACCATTAATCTTTATTTTCATGCATTTTACAGTCAAAGTTTTTTCCAAGCCATAACTCAGTTTTACTAGTAATGCCTGGGAGTGTGTTAATACCTGGAACAATCATTACCATAAGGTTCTAATGCATTATGAATGAAGAGCAAATGGGATGTGAGATGTTATGTGATACAGAAGTTACTTCTTCCAGCTTGTGTTAAGAGGACGAGTCGTTGAAAATAATATTGAACTCATTGTAGTAATTAGAAAATAGCATTTTAACATGTTGCAATAAATTATAAACTGAGGCTTTGACTGTGTCCCTGTTGCCATGGTTTCTCATTATAGAGAGAGCCAGCGCATTCATTTAGAAGACTGAATGAAGTATTCACCCAGCACAGGGAATAAAGAGAAGTTATGGTTGTTTTGTGTGAGGAATACATGGCATACAGTGTAGAGCAACTATGTGGTACTAAACTACTATATACAAAACATAGCCCAAAAGAAAATACATTTATTTACATTGCCCTGTGCTTGCACTCTCCCAAGTATCGCTGTAATACATTGCTGCTTCCTCACTGACGAGACGGCGCAGGTGCTAATCCAGACTTGTGTCATCTCCCGCCTGGACTACTGCAACTCACTACTTGCCGGAGCCCCGGCGTCGGCCATCAGACCTCTGGAGCTTGTCCAGAAAGCTGCAGCTCGCCTGGTGTTCAATCACCCCAAGTTCTCCCACACAACTTCCCCTCTCCGTTCTCTACACTGGCTAACTGTAAGAGCTCGCATTCAGTTTAAGACTCTGGTGCTAGCCTACAGGGGAGTCAAAGGAACAGCTCCTTCCTATATCCAGGCCATGGTCAAGCCCAACACCCCCGCCCGACCACTTTGCTCTGCTGCCTCGGGGCGAATGGTTGCCCCGTCGCACAGAGGTCCCTGCGGCCGATCGACCCGGTCACAGCTGGTTTCTGTCCTGGCCCCACAGTGGTGGAATGAACTCCCCACCGACTTCAAGACAGCAGAGTCACTGACAATCTTTCGGCGCAGGCTGAAAACTCACCTCTTCAAGAAGGCCTACCCTGAGCCTTCCACTCAGCACTTATTGTATTCATACTAGTTTGTTGCACTTATTGTATTAGTTTGTTTCTGCACTGTACTTTTGCTCTGGTTTATGCTCTTAGATGCTTGTTTCATTAAAAAAGGAGATGTATTTATGACTTCTGGTGACTAGTAGTTCTCTTGAATACCTATGTTGAATACTGTTATTGTAAGGCGCTTTGGATAACAGCATCTGCTAAATGACTAATGTAAGAAGAACATTCTTGCATTACAATTTTACTCTACAATGAAAAAAATATTTGAAGTACCAAAAGCACTCTAAATTACATGTTTCTTTCAAATGATTTCTTCAGGGCCAAACCCATCCCCTTTTTGCACAGGACATTTGTCCTAAGAGCTACTGTTTTGAGGTATCACCAAGCATGAAATATGATGGCATACCTTCATCCAACTCTAGACCACAGGAGACACTGAGGAGAAGAGGCACAGCATGCTGGACAGGGTTGTAGTTCTGCAAACACCAGCATCACTGTTCTGGGCTCAGCTGCCTCAGTTACCTCCCAGGTTATAATTGCAACACTGTACCTGTTGTCTTTTTTATTTTATTTTGTATACATCAAGACAGGTTGCTGCCATCTTTAGCCTGACCTGTCATCACATAACAATACACTACTGGGACAGGAGGGGTTTACCTGTACATGCTATGCACAAACAGGCACCTCCAGGCTGTAGAATTTGCTTTTGTTCAGTCTTTTACATCCAGACTTCACATAAGCTTCATATAATGTGGTTTTTCAGCTGCTACGGGCGTTGCCCTGAAGAATTAACATTGGGGAGCATTGCCAGAGGTAAGTGGAGAGACAGATGTGATGCCTAGCCTGAGGCTGCCTCTCAAGACTTGGATCCTGAGAGGGACAGGCTGGTGCTTCTAGGATTGTCCTCCACTGTGGAGAAGATAAGCCAAGGCAGGAATGCAGACTCAACTATTTCTGCTGAAAATGCAAAGTCCTTGGGCTTGCACAAGTGATGGAACAATAGTGTTCCAGTGAACTGCTCACTCAGCTCAGTTTTATTACATAATCTTCTAGAGAGGTGTCTGCTGCCATCTGCTATCAAAGTGAGTGATTTCCTGTGAGGTAGGTTTTAAACCACTTTTCTTTGACATGTTTCAGGCAGGGAGTAAGATAGCCGTGTCCAGGACAAAACTCACTCTTCCTCTCCCTTCAATAGCCATTGCTGGTGCTTCTTGATGTCCTTTTATTGGCAGCTGTTTCTATGCACTGTGCACTTGTGCCATTTTGAATCTAAACCGGAATGGTTCTAGCTCTGATCTCAGCGAACAGGAAGAGTGAATTGCACGCCATTTCCATTCAGTGTAGTATCACCTAGGCTACAGTCTAAACTATAGTGGTGCCTGAGTGATGGTACACTCAGAGCTTTATTGCACACAGTTTTTTTTACATTATGACATATCGTTTTATTTATAGATAAGGCCATGCAAATATATATTGACCCAATTCAGTGGCATTTTAAAACACTGTCTACACTCATTTTGATGGACTAAAGTACTTTTTAAAAGTGATATAAATAGTAAATATATAGGATAGTAAATATCTGATCCCTCCTGATAGCTGACATTGTTACTGTGAAAATGTAGACTATCACTACAGTGTTCAAAAAGCTTAAGAGCCTGGGAGATTGTAGAGTCTTTGATCTCAATGCACTAGATGACCAATGCATGTTTTGTTGGAGGACATCTGAAGGATTTTAGGACAATGTATTGTGATTTGGCTACAACACAGGGTTGCAAAACAAAATTAAGTTGTAGCCTATTTGTTACACAAGAAAAAATGCATCAGTTTTGCGTTCCTGTAATGCATTTTTTAATTTAATGCAAACAGAGACAATATCACCTGATTGACAAACAAATACATTAGATAGAGCAGTTTGAACAGTGGCAGCGACATCACCCTTCCAACATACAGATTCTGACTTGTTTGTAATTGCTTACTCAGCTGTCTTGTCATTTAGTGTGTGCTTAGTCTTGGATGCATCTTTATCTCAAAGCTTTTTCAAGCAAATGAGGTGCAAAAATGTACCTAATTTCTCTCAGAACATTACTTTAGGAAACATGAACTTGAGTCAAGTTTACTCAAGACTTGATGAATTTTGGATTTGGACGGGAAATTCTAGAGTACCCGCGCATGCCGATTTAAAGTGTATTACTCCACAAGTTTGGGGAAGTCCAGATCTTTGCATTCAGCCCAAAGCCAAGTCAATGTCAGACCCTTATTTAGTCATTTTGTGTCATCGCTAACAGCTTCATTGAGACAGATGTTTACATTTTGAGAATGGTTAGCAATGTGTTGTGGGATTGTCAACACAAAAAGGTACCCCTGCCACAGACAAACGTCTTTTTTTTTTCAATTGGAAACATTTTTGCGGGAACTCCATTACATACATTTACACTTACAATTTGGATCCTTAAAAAAGAAATTGCGGAGGGTAAATGTAGTGAATTATATAATTAGGGACTAAATTCAGACAACTTGTGTGACTTTGCCTTTGGCTTGTTTTACCTAATTAAATCTGATAGTCTGCACCTGATGTGATCAGTAATTAAGATATTTGTTGTCAGTCTTGGTTGTGGCTTAATTCCGCTTTGCCTTGATCAGTATTCAGTGCACTGGTCGGGGGCATCCTTTTTTCTGACCCTTAGCTGCTGCTCTTCGTCAAGTCTGCTTTCTATGTATTCTCTGCATTTGCCTCCATCATTGCCTGCCATATGTCAGAGGAATGTTTACACTCATCCACAATGATATTTTATTGGGAAAGTACAGCATTTTCAATCATTTGAGGCCCCTGCTTTACAATTTGCAGAAAAAATATATTCATAACTGTAGTTAACTTTTGTTAGTATTTGTAGTATCAAATAAACAAAAATAATTCAAATGCATCTTGGCAAGACACCAAGACACAAACCTATGACATAATGACATTTTGTTCATTACAGTAGACAAATGTAATCTACTAACAAGGAGCACATGCATTTAGTTGATTAATCATATGGCTGTGGAGTGCAAAATGGAAAATATTCAACAAATCAAATTTTATGGGCTAGAAGTGATTTTGAACAAAGTGTTGAGATCTATAAATAACTTGTGCCAAAATAATTGACTGCTGTATGCTACAGGCTTTCCATTTCATAATTTAGGTTAAATAAATGTGTGGGGAATAACCAAATTACAGAGCCCATTTAACTAATTTGCAACATGACATAATGTCCCCTATTAATTTAACAAATTTCACGAATCAAAACAAAGAGCTTATTTGCAAACCCATGCATGAGCATGCGAGAGCTCAGGACTCGCATGCTTTTATTTGTTGGCTGTGGTAGGTACTGTGTGCGCGTGAATGTGGACTGGCGACAGTCTGTATGTAATGTATGTATGCAATATGTTATTTTCTATTCTTTTAACAACAGATACTGTATGTTTCCAAGACAAATTTCCTTCGGGACAATAAAGTCTATCTTATCTTATCTACACGCATCTGCAATTTGCAAGCAACAATAAATCTTGAAACGTGTCGCAGCCACCATTTCCATGTAAGCAGTGCTTACAAGTGCTTTTTTCTATGAACCATGAATTGAAATAGCTATGGGTAATACTATCCATTCGCCCACTAGAAATTAGCATAAATGCAGCTGGCTGATCAGGAGGCACCTATCTAAAAATGTGCAAATCAAACAGTATATAGCACAAATCGTTGCTCAACATTCTACACCCTCTTCAGTGAGCGCCATAGGAGCAGCAGGGCTGGAACACGAGGATATGTAGGTGTATCGCCCCGGTGGGGGTGCAACACAACTGACACACACACACCCACTCTTTATCGGCCAAACCATCCCCGAAGCACAGTAGATGATGAAGAACAAGCATGTGTGTAACCCCAACCCCTCCATGTATTCCCTCCAAATCAAGACAGCCAGACATCAGTTAACCAGGGGAATGATTTGTGCACGCCACTCCGTATTAACACAGAAGTGGCGGCCACAAGGGTAAGTAGAGTGGAAAAGGCAGAGCCTGTGATGGGGACTTTGAACACATCGTTGCATGCTCGCCTGCAAATATGCTACTCAAAGCTGCTTTACCGTGTGACACGTCTGAGAATATCACACCGAGATAGCTTTTGAAGCGCTGTGCCAGCGGGTCTGATAGCTCATACTCGTGTGATCGTCTTGATGCCTCCTTTACTGGAGGTGGGGCGGAAACGACCAGTGTGTGTTGGAGTTTTTTTACCTTGAGCATCCAAACGTCATATCCGTTTGTGGAGGTCAATGAGTTGTCATTTGGAGCAGGGTAGGTGAAGAGGAATGTGCTCTTTGAGAAATTTAAATTGATTGCATGACATGACGGGCCCTAGCTAACAAGATCAGTCAGCGGGCATTTGGGTAGGCACGTCTGATTGGTCAGCTATGCTTATGGAAATTTTCAGAGGCCAAATGCATACTCGTGTTTGAGGGGGGAATTGCCCATAGAGTCCAGTACAGGGCAGAGCCTGTGAGAGTTAGAACAGTTGTATTCATTGCTAATTAAAGATAAACCCTTTGGGGAAGAAAAACATGTCAAAGCTGCAACAACTGTTTGGAAGACAAAGAATGACCGTTTCAAATGAATGTTTCTAAATGTGTATCTTTATAACACTATTTATGCGAATGTATGTGCAATTGTGATTTATCTTCTGTCACTCACCGTCTGGTAGGTAATTATGAATTTTATCATGTGGCCCACAGGCATGTTCTGGGTGAGGAATTCTCTCTGGCTGGGTAGGGCTGGCTGGTAGTGGATCTTTGCTGTGGGGAAAACAAAGGTATTGAATCACCATGAATCCCAAAACAACATGCTCGTTTTAATTCCATTTAATCCACCTTCTCTGTTCTCACTTGATGTACTTTACAATATATAAAACATGTGGGCTTCATTTTTAGAGAGAGTTAAATAAAAAATAAGTGAAGACAGACGGCACACGCTGATCCCTCTATTAACCAGGGTGGTTTTATCTTGAATCATTGAGTAGTATTAATGGCCTCGCTTATAAATCCCCCATGTTCGAATACTACGCTGGCTGTTGCTATGCTGCAGGGCACTAATCACAGCACTTATATCTGTAAAAGCTTCATCTCACTGATGTGAGAGCAGTCAAGGAACTTCATCAGTACTGTTGGAGGTACTGTACTGTATGTCACGCATGCTGAAGAAGCCAGCCAGCCTGTTTTCCGTGCTTGCTCTGGCAAGTGAAGCGACATCTGGCCAAAAGCCAGGCTTTTAACGAATGAACCACTGGAAGATGTGAAACATCATTTAGAAACTGTCACGAGCCTGTCAGCAACCTCAAAATAAATGCCCTTAATGATAAACAAAATTGATGATCCCAAAGTTGTAAAATTGAAAAACTGACATGATAAGTGGCTCCAAACTAATTTGACATGGTCAGTTAGACGTTCAAATGACAGCACTGTACACAAGACACAAGGCCTGTCAAGTAGTGTCATATCCATAAAGCTGCTTGTTTTGACACCAAAGCCATCTAAGCTGATGGCAGGAAATGCCTTCTACCTCATTATTTAGTAAATAATTGATGGTTAAATGAGACATATTCTGTCACCTTATTCTTTATAACGCTATGGTGCTCTACTGTGAAAACACTGTCATTCAATCTAAACATGCACTAATCAGCAGTGACGCTTTCGTGGAACTTCAACACAACTCAGCATCGCAGTTAAATCAGGATGATGTGAATAAGCAGGTTCAAAGGGATGGCAGTTTATAGAACGCAAGAAATGAGTGCACACTAATCTGATGCTGTGTGCCCAAAAGGTGGGTAGCTGATGAATAGGGACAGAGTACTGCTTGTAAACAGACATCAGTGACAAAATAAAACTATTGTTATGCATTCTTTCTAGCATCCAGCAAATCCCAGAGTTGTTGAAGGCTTTTACTTTTTACTTTAAAAGGGACCACAGGATGGATGCTGAGGATTTCCTCTGTCAATAGAGCTGAAAAAGGCACTCGAAAAATTGCCTCAACTTCAACATCCAGTGTTTTTTGAGTGGGCGTACCTTCAAACTACTCGGGCAAACATACAAAAAGGTGGTACGCATGACATTGTCTGATGCTAGATGAACGAGAGAAAATGTAAAAATTCTCCAGCTAATCAGAAGTTTATGAGGTCAGAGTGTAGTAGGTCTAAACACTAAAACATGGATTCTTACTGACTTTAGCAATCCCCTGACTGTTTATCCAGTGCCACCAACAGGTTTACATTTGGGGATTTTAGTGAAATAGACAGACAAATGTGAATTAGCAAATGTTAGCATGCAAACAGGTTCTGGCGTCATTTTTGGTTCATTATTAGAGTTGCCATGCTGCTGCGCACGCCTGTGAAAAACTTCTTTGAATGTCCTGGCTGCAGTCCACAGCAGACCAATGATATACTGGTGTTTTATGGGCAAACTGTTAATTAGCAGGAATGTAGCACAACGTGAAAGTACTGCTCTGTTTTAATTTTGGGTAGGAAATGTTGATACAATTTAGTTTTGTTTCAAGGAGATGCACTTAAAATAAGGACCAGTCCTATTGTAATGCAGAGAGTGAAAGCAGTGCTCTCTTTATTTAAATGTGAAAGTGCAATCAAAATATTTTGTCCCTATAATGAATGAATAATCGTGATGAATAATTGTGATCCAAGTACTGATCAAAATAATCTCTCCCTCCCTCTCCCTCTCCCACACACACGGCCCTCCCGCGCCAAAAGAGCATTTATATGGTTCTATCACTTGCATTTTTAAATGTGATCAGCAAAAATAAAAAAATTGTATTCAATAACAACCTATTTATTATTAGTTTTTTTTAATCTTATGAACAATTTCTATGATGGCAATGAGTATCCTGAGCCATTTTTGTCAAAAAAATCCTTGCTTTATAATTTGACCGCAATGGATGAAACCTCCAAGTCAAAAGAGGAGAGAGTTCATCTTGGATCAGACATGGAGTACAGCAAGTTTCCCCTAAAGGATGGCGACACTCTCCTCACCCATCTCTGAACTGAAGTACTCTCATTTGACACTTTATCAGACGGCTTTTTGCATCAACCTGTCATATTTGGAAAACAGCAGCAGGTTCAAGGACGTCTATTGGCTCCGGGGCAATCTGTGCGACTGCTGGTTCCTGACCCTTTGCACTCTGACTTTTAAGGACACTGCTTGCCCCAGAGTGATTTCCTTTTAGTCTTTTCACTGTCGTTTTGTCCGTCTTGTTCTTACGTTCTTTTGGAATACTGTGGCATTTGAAAAAAAATCCTTCACTCCAATTTGTGAATGCCTACTGGACAACGTTGACCTTGCTTTCTCAATTTCCTGCGTCACTGACCTGTGCGTTACATCTGTGGTAGCCTTCAGCAAGGGGCTTCAAAATTTCCATTACTCTCACTCTGAAGTTTTACCGTAGCGCACACGCACTTTCAGTGTCTGACCGTCAGAGCGAAGAGGAAAGTAAAACACGGAAAGCCACTCAAATCAAGACATGACATCAAAGGGATGATGATTCAGAGATGCAGCTACCAAATGGCAATTTATAAAGAGTGGTGCAAAGAAACTTTAAAAGGTATGAAAATGGCTAAAGCTAGCTAGAGCTGAAGTTTAGTTCATAGCTGTGCCTGCATATACTGTGAAATTGGATCGCCTCTTTCATCCTAACAAGCCAATAGAGCAGTGCACAGCTTATGATGTAACAGCCTGTTCAGGAGGAGACGAAGCACTTGTATGAAAAAACTTTTGCTAGGTGTGTGGCTGAGAAAATGGTCATGTGATAGAGAAACAGCCTTTACAGTATAATGTCAATGCTTTGCTTCAAAACAAAGATATAAGAACCTCTTATAACTCTAGAAGGTAAATTCAAAAAGATGAGGCAATAAAGACAGATGGATACCAAAGAAGAAGAAATAAAGGGCCTTCATAAATCTTAAGGGCCATCTGAAAAAGGCGGCACTATTCACCAACCACTTAATCCAAACGTTGAAGATGGATTCCTGTATCTGTGGGCACGTTACATCGCAGATCTTTATTGAATTACGTGCGTAGCCCCTTGACACTTATGGAAATTGAAGGCACGGCAGGAGCAGCAGACACCATCCCCCATCTCTCCATACACGCACTGAAGTTCCAACATTACTTCATAATTGGTGGTCCTGATAAGAATAGACTCAAGGAGGATGACCCTTTTGGCTAAAATTGCCTTCATTAGTTTAGGAATTCATTTAACTGTGGTTCAATATTGGATGACTTTTAATCTCCTATGAATATATGGCCAACTAAGCGTAGCAGGTGGACCAATAACAGAAGATGCATTTCATTTTGATGCAAGGGTCCTGACAACATTTTTTATCTCAATCAGTTTCTTAGTAAAAGGGATTGGGTACATGAACACATTATAATGCCAGAGAGTGACCCTTACCACACCCTACACAGTCCCTCGCAAGCAAATCAATTGTGTTTTTGAGTGTACTGTTATTCATTTATTTTGTTTCCTTTTTAATTGCTGTTAATTGAGAATTAGAATTTTTTTTTTTTTTTTTCAAACTCTTGATAATGTTACACAGAAACAGCTGGACTTACTGGTCGATTAGTCTCTCACAGATCAGTATCAGTTGATATTGTGGCCACAAATTACAGTACAGACGTACTGAGAATATGTTTTGAAGTAATTCCGAAACAATGTCACCATAACGAAGTATGTCCACCTGAGTACTATTAACTTTTATTTATCAGAGTAAATGTCTTGGTCAAACTTCTTCGATATCCAAATGTAAGAGATCCTGAATAATTCTTGTTGTCTTGACATAATAAAAAAAGATGAATAATCGAACAATACACTGTTCAACATGTATTAATCATCAACAGTATTGGCCTCAAAATACCACACAGAAATCACAACTTTAGAAGAGAGTTTATGTTGTGTGTGCGCAACGCTGAACGTTTTTCATAATAGATCGTTTTTTTAACATTTTCCATTGCTGAACAAAGCCACATGTACGATACTAGCCTGCACACCAACACTTGCTATGTTGCTCATCAGAAGAGATGCAAAACACACAGATAGCTTAATTCATTTCCACAGAGTTATTTTCAGCGAGATAGAAATCGCATTGCGTTAGCCATCTTCCCAATCACTTCAGCTCTTAATGTTTAATCCCTAAATGAGGCTCCATTAGTTTCATTCACAGCACAGCAAATCCGTGGCCTAGAATCCCGACTCAAAGTGTCACTTGGCAAATCAGTGCTAATGCACTGCTAAACGGTTTTTCTACTAGTGCAAACAAGCCTGTGGACTAAACTGAGTGGCAGATGTAATAGTTTCCTCACCACTGCCCAAGCCTGCTTTCATTACTGCAGCTCCTCCTCCATTAGAAGATACATTGCAACATCACATAGTGTTGCTTGGCTGCCTGTCAAGTTCACTCGCAGTCAGATGAAATCCCCCTTTTAGTCAGGTACAATGACTTTTTGCAAGAGATGTCAAGAACTTTGGCTTCAACCACTTAACAATAAATATCCTTGCACATGCCAACACAGACACAAATGTGCACACACAGACAGTTGGCTCTGCAAGGAACTCCCTACTTGATGAAGAGAGACAGAAAAACACATTGAAACTAAATGTTAATTTAGTAACTGCAGAGCTGTCTCTCTAACTACCGCTGAATGTTAGACTGTACGCCTAATTGCATTATACTCCAACTGCATGCTGTGAAAGCTTAATTAGTATTTGTTTTTATACAATGCAGTCTCATAATAAATATACATGGGAACCCATTTACTGACTAATATATGCACATACTTCAATCACATCTTCGAAATTCAACACAACGCATGGCAAAGTTCTCATTTTTCTTGCATGGCAATCTCATATGCAGTGAAACCAAACAGTTCATAAATCATTGAGGTGAGTGAGAGAAGTGGTAACAAAAACGGGAGGGAAAAAAAACCCTGACGGAACTCATTATAAAAGATGGATGGATGAATGGGGAGATAAATCCAGCAGCCAAGAACAGGACAAACGTGATATATTGGGGAACGAACAGCTCATATCCAGCAGTTGCGATTGTGTGTGTGTGTGTGTGTGTGTGTGTGTGTGTGTGTGTGTGAATACACTGGGGGGTGTCTTTTGATGCCAAGCACCTCTTGGACCCAAGAGTATTCATTTCTTTGTTCAGTCATCCATCTACCGATTTATTGCATCAAAAGCACGTGACTTCTGAAATAATTAAGAATGTCAGAAACAAACATCTGTAACAAAGGAACTAAATATGAGCGGTTATGGAGCAATGCACTCTTTACTGTCCAAGCGAGGAATCGTCTACAGTCACTATCACCATTAAAGCTCTGTCCTTCGCTCCCCCACTAACTGGAAGGCTGCTCAGGTTTATTCACCTCCAGGAAATTAAAACAAAACATGTCACACAGATGACTTCAAGCAGCAATCCTCCCTTTAATTTATCCCAGAGGTGACGTCTCAATCACTGGCCTGACTTTGGCTTTTGAAAGTCCCTGTCAATTTACCCGCACTGATTTAAGGCCAAAGCGTGGCCCAGTGGCATCCGAGCCAGAGCAATCCATGCTGCATAATTTAACACCGCTTTCAAACCTGTCTCATTAAGGATCCTGGCCATGGTCCATGGCTATGAGTATGAGTATTTGAGTGACAGATCTGTTGCCAGCTTAGTACATACAGGCACAGACCCAGTGTAAAGCCCAGCTTCAGATTCCGCTTCGGCCCCTTCAAAACCTGGCAAGAACTGGCTTCGGCTCCAGCCTTGGCATCAACCAGCACAACTCCTGTCTTAGTGTGTGTCACGTACACGTGACAAGCACCAGCCAGACTGCAAACATTAAATCAACTCCAAGTCACTCCTATGTTACCCACCAATTGAGTTTGGAATGCAGGTTTTCTATTTTCTGAACCAAGAAAAAACAAGAGAAAAAGAAGTGGATTCTACTCAGTGGATTGGATACGATGGATATATTTCCTCAAACTCACTGCCGCAACATGGAAAATGGATTTGCATTCAAATCGACACATATTGCTGTAATGTTTGCCGTTAATTAAAAAGACCTTGCGGTCTGATTTTCAAAATGGCATGGTTTTTAAAGGCTATTTGGTGCAATTACAACTTTTTGGCTCTTGAGAACAGTTTACTGTCAGGGTCCATTTTTTCCTCGGTTATGACGTGTTTGTCACTTTCAACTTCCCACTGCCTACCATAACGAATGTCAAGTTAGGCCCCAGTAAAAGTTTTGGCCTTAACTTTCGCTCTGGTTCAAAATCCAATCCAGGCAATTCCTCAGCCCATAGCCCGACCTCAGAACAAATCGACTTCAACCGAAGTGACTGCCACATGCCAGAGCCAAAAACGATTTCGGGAAATCAAAGTCTATCGGCATGGATGCACAGTTCACCACATTTGACTGACGTAGTAGTGAGAGGGGAGGATATTTGCCTTCCGCATCAGTGAGAATTTTATTTAGCGAGTCGACGGAGGTGGGAGACGCACACTGACCTGCCAAATGAGGGGGGCAGGTGACAATCACAGCTCTGCACAGGAAGGTGTTGGTCGTGGTGGTCACCCTGGCCCACTCAGCATCCTGTCGAAACGCATAAACAGAAACAGCTTTATTTGATAAGCAAGCTGCACAGATTTGTTAGTACATACGAATATGGTATGCACAAACTGAATTTAAGTTAATTACTTTACATCACTTCTTTACAGTATATTTTAGCATCTCACTCTGCATATCTGAAATTACTTTGGCTAAATGTTTATATCTTCACTGCCAAATTCGGCATTTCTGTAAACCATTAATGCCAGTGTTTAATAATATGTCTATACATTAACCTTGAGCCTGTGATACACAGTATATACAGACACTACACTAGTCATGTATCAGTAGTATCATGTAACAGTGAAGCAAAAATAGTTGTCTATATATTTATACATGAGGCATAGTTCTGTGAATCAAACTGATTTCATTCTGTTAGATTGTGTTTTGTATTTTTATGGATGTTGTAGTAATTTAAACAAAAGACGTGGTAAAATCAACTTAAATGAGATTGTGACGGCAAAATGTTCTACTGTATATATCACTGGGTTTTTGAATCACTGCAGAGCTCCTGTGTGCTTGCTCCCTTGGTCTCACATGCACTTAACTTAAGCCTCTGGTGATAATTAAAACTCACCCACCACAGAACATTACTGTGCAACATAGAAAGCACTTATCCTCTGAGATTGTAAAACAGCTATATATTTTTGGATGCTGAAAATTTGAAATTACATTTACTGCATTTTTTTGTCTTGACTGGCTCCTGAGTAACGTTAGGATTATTTAAAAATATATTTTTATACACACAGTAAAGCATTGATATCGTCCAGCACCACTGTAACCACCTTCAAAGCAGAGACTAAAGGTATCCCAGCTTTCCCTATTTGGACAAGCTCTCCTCAATGTCCTAAAGAAGCCAGAATACTGATTTTATACGTTTTGATTTGTATGTATTATTGCCTTGCAGCAAGAAGGTCCTTGGTATGAAGCCCACCCGGCCAACTGTGTGAGGTTTGCATGTGCTCCTGGTGCCTATGTGGGTTTCTTCTGGGTGCTCCAGTTTAGCTTAGGATGGACTGGAAACTGAACATTTCCTGTAGCTGTGAATGTGAGTGTGTCAATATGTGTTAGCCCTTGACAGACATGACTAAATGTCAACGGTGTGCCCTCCCTGTCACCCAATGCATGCTGGGACCGGCTAAAGCCTCCTGTGAATCTGCCCATGCCACTTTTTTTCTTCCTCATCTCATCCGTGTTCATATTATTACTGTTTAGTACTTTGGAGTAGGACTGCACTTAGTAATTATTTTCAATATTGATTCATTTGATTATTATTTCAGGTAATGGATTAATTGATTTATTATTTCGTACCTACAATGTAGGGCCGGAATCAACAATTATTTTCATTATGGATTAATTTGCCAACATTTTTGGAATTATTTAATTGTAATCACGATTTGTAGAACAAAAGGCGCCTTCTTGAACAGTCTAAAATCCAATGATAAATTTCACTCGCTGAAAACCATCTGAGAGGCTAAACCCCTGTGACTTGTGGCATTTTTGCCCCACAAATATTTTAAACAATAAATGACTCAGATAGTCGACGATTGTTTTTCTGTCGATCCACTAATTCATTAATTAACAAATGTTTCCGCTCTAATTAACCCCAGAGTCTGGGGTGACATCTTCAATCTGCTTATGTCCTGCAGAAGTAAATTTACCGTGATACAAATCAGAAAAACACAAAATACTCTCCTTTAAAGAGGCTGCAACCAGTTCACTCTTGGCATTTTTTTCTTGGTGATAGACAATTGCCAAATCGATAATCGTTTCAGCTCTACTTTGGAGCATATTAGAAGATTTAGTCCTCTAACCGATTTTGGTATTCTATCTAAAATCCAGCAATCACATTGGATATTGTATCATCCAGTTATCAATATTCTATGCTCTAACAAACAATACATACATAATCAGCAAGAATAAACAATACTTCAAGGCAAAGCTCTCCACTTAAGAGTGCATGGAGCCTTCTTGATCTCTCAGCTGTGGATAAGGAAGACAGTCGAGCAGAACAGACCGTGCCCTCACAGGAGACGGCCTATTTCCCCTCTGTGGAAGCTGTTATCTCTGTGTCACGCCTCATCAAACCCTGAGTGAGATGTTACTGTACTCTACCTGCCATATGGCCGTCACAGCAGAACCCAGCCGGACATTCTTCCACCCGACACGTTCTGCCAGACACTGTGAAAGTTGTTGGGTGCCTCCCTGTGGAGAGACAGAAACTACACCATTGATACCCGGGGTGGGCAGAGTGCTTGACGTTTAAGGGTTTCTTCAGCCAAATCATTAAAACAGAAACTCCTTGTGGTGTCCAGCCAGCCATGCAGATAATTCAGTTATTTGAGCCATTTTTATATGGACCTGCCTCATATGAGACATGCTGACATCCCAATGCAATAAAGCATTTTATTTATTCTGGCGCAATGAGAAATGTCGGTTAAAATAAATCCTCATCAGCAACATCATTTTCTGGAAACAATGTCCTGGTTATTCTGCAGTGAATAGTCAGTGGGAACTTTTTTCTTCCCATGGTTCAAAATAACTTTTTTAATGTGATCAGTGTATGAAAATTCCTAAAAACAGGAAAAATAAAAGCCAAATGTAAGCTTGAATTTGAAGTATAAAGGAGAAATGCACACAAAGAGTCCTGACTTTAATCTAGATTTTCAGATAAAATGTATTCAAAATGATTGAAGGAATAAGTACAATAACTGAGGAAGCTCCTTATATTTGATTCTGCTTCTTACTGTATCTGTGGTGTTGCCATGCTCACAGTGCTACTTATAATAATTCCCTCAGGGCACAGCTGAAATGCCGAAATAAGAAAATTGCTGGAGATAAATACGAGGGGAGAAAATCTGCTATTACACAGGTTTGTAACTAGAAAAGCATTGTTACAATTTTCTTTTTCTTCCCCTTTTGGCCTTCAGCCATTTCACACTCCACCACTCTGTGGAGAGAGAAGGTTTAGAAGCAATGGCTCAAACATAGAAAGGCATGGAACCAGCTAAACAAAACCACAACTCCAAGTGTTCTAGCTGTGCCAATCGATGATGCGTCTGGGATGAAAAAAGGCTCTGTGTTTGTTAAGACAGGGCTCGTACAAGATGTTCTGACTCTGTTGAGGGATCGTTTTTTACAGGGACATTTTATTAAAGGAGAGAAGAAAGCCACTGGGGTCTTTGTTTTTGAAAAAGCTCTCACGTCAACAATATGGAGTTTGTGGAAGGATATCAGCTGTGTACCCTTATCTTGAGCTCTTGCGCAGAACCTGGAGTGCTTTCCAGCAGTGGCAGTACCCCTCCAGCTGCTGCAGCATACATGAGGAAGAACAGGAAGGACATCTGCGATGGCTCCATGCCAAAGACAGATCTGCTACACAGACCCATCTCTTCTTTTAGCTCTGGCAGATGAATGAAGACATACTGTAGCTCTCACACATGCAGTAATTATATGCATTCCCATACCATATCAGTGTCCTGCCAAGGTGTGAACCATTACATAGCTAACGCCTATACACTGAAATTCCTTAGCAAATAAAAGATGGACTGGCATGAAATTTGGTACGGACTTTCAACATTTCCAGAGGATGAACGCTAATGTCTTTCTATCCGTGACAATGTATGCAATACTTAGTTGATGACCAGCAAAATGTATGACATTCTTATTAGCCTCAGCTGTACTTTGTTTTGTAAGTTAATTATGGAGTTGTTTTCCTATCTTTATTCTTATATATATATAAAGTAAAGCAAGTGAGTGTGAGGAGAAAGGCTGGAGCGCAGGAAAGCTGTGCAAGCAACAATATGTCTGTGTGCAAGCATACAGTTTGAGCAGAAGCAGTGCAAATCCAAGAGCTAGCAAGGGAATATTTGAGTGCAAGGACAGGGTTCTCAATAATCAATAAGTCATCCTCTTTCAAATTATAAAAATTACACTTGAGAAGATAAGAAAAAAAGCTCCATAGTTGATTTGCATGGTAGCAAGTATTAGCATGCTACTACACTAAGCTACCAACATTACACCCGACAGTGTGAGCTTGTTAGCATGTCAACTGCTGCTATATGAACTGTTTATGTAAACATTACTCCACCATATTTTTACATATCAAATAGCTGTTTGCTTCTGTGTCATTAAGAATGTTACATACAGCTCCTTTAAGGATCAGAGACATTTTTGACCTCAACTATTATCTATCTTCATCTTTTTTCCTACATCACAGCCTGTAGACTCATAATTGTTCCATAAAAATACTGTATATGGAACACTGTATCAAGAGTCACTAACTTTGGTCAACATGTCAACATGCTCTATTGAAAGAAATAGATTGTGCAATAGCTAAAGCAACTTTTAAACATACCTGCAGTCCAAGCATGTTGCTTAATGTATGAATGCAGGGTCATACTGTCCAGTTCAACAGCATTGGGAGTCCTCCAAGGATCCTGGACGCATACTGTGGCACACAGTCTGTCAAACTGAGTGCAAAGTACAGTTACAACAACACACCCACACATGATGCTTTACCATAAGAAAAGAATCATCCCATTGATACAGGAAAAAAAGAAGAGTAGTTGAAAAAACATGATCAAGCACGATTCTGTCAGGGCTTTCCCCGTACATTTTCTGCTTCCCACTCCTACTCTAAGCACTTATCCTGGGCAGGACATTTTGTGGTACTTTGTTGTGTGATTAATATATGCTTGTTCTATCAATCTGAAAGCACACAGCATTATACATGTAAAATACCATTACCACAACCTTTTAGGACTGCTTATTGATTCCCAGAATGGTAAGGATATTGTTCAATAAAGCGGATTATAGAAAGATATTGTCGTAAAAGCTGGTCTCTAAAGACAGTGTATATCTGCTGATATGCTGTATATCATCTTGTTATCATTATGCAACAAGTAATTAATTAAATCATTCCACGAGGAGTTATTTGGCTGATTCATATCATTTCTAAGAATTTGGGAGGAACGCCATGATTGAACAAAGTCGGAAGTACAGAATATTGCTGTGTAAGTCTGCTTGCCTCACCTTCCACAGGAGCTGGGTGAGGTCCAGTAGCACCACTGGGGATAGAGCAGGGATACTGGTTCTGTAGGTGCGAACTTTGGCACCTGGCCCTCCCGTGTGGTGAACCTTCTCGCCAATATTGAATTGCGGGAACGTCTCTAAGCCCAGCTCCTTTATGAGCTCCAGGATGTGCGTTTGGGTGCTGGAAAAGAAAAGAAGCCACTTTATATATGCTTAGGTTTACAGTGTTTGAGGATTTGGTGTAGGGTTTTAACACTTTCAGCTGATACATAGTCAGAAATGCATTTATTCTGAGTTAAGAGAAGTATGCTTGAGAATACAACATTGCTTAAGCAACTGGGAAAAAAATATATATGCCAAAGTATGAAGTGACATGGAGCACCTGCAAGATGCAAGTCATCAAAGTGCTCCTGAACAACGCACTTCACACATTCTCTAGTTGAGCTGTGCTATTTCCAACAGTTGACTACATGTTGTAGTCCACCAGTTAGCAACTATACAAATATGTAAGCAATGGTAACTTTAATCAAAGCAGTTTGTTTCTTTGATGTTGTAAGGTTTTTGCAGAAAATAAAGGGCTGGACCCAAATGCAGGGAGACTCGGGGAAACGGAGGGTTGGATAATTGTGGGTTTAATTGTAACAAAAAACTATTCAACACAAAAGTGTGAATCACAAGTCCATGAAAATAAAACATCCAAAGGAACAGGGAACACTGCAAAGGGGAGCAGACGCGAAACATACCGGGAGGAAATGGCAGACGGACGAACACCGAGCCAAGGGACACACATGGTTTAAATACACAGGGAAGGTGCAGGTGATTAGACACAGCAGGTTTCAATTAAGGGTGGGGCAGACGATCACGAGAGGAGCAGAGAGGCGCAGAAAGTGAAGTGAAGCAGACTGAGGAGGTGCAGCTGATTGAATGCAGCAGTGTCTAATTAGGGGAAGGGCAGACCCTCACAGGGGTAAGAATCAAAATCATGTTATGCATCAATTAGCACAGGTATCAGGAAAAACGAATTACAGTAAAAAGCTTGTATATCAGCAGACATATTGCAATCAAAGGCGTTGAGACAGTACAGCACCAGCCTACAAGCACAACATTGAGCAATACAAGTGAACTAAGTTGTTTCTTATGAGCACCATAACCCTTGTTAAGCCCAGGAGGAGGGGCCAACTTTGAATGTTATGTTTCCAAACCGCAATCAATAAATCATTGTGCCTCAACTACTCAAAATCTTCGACATGTCTGGATTCAATCTTAGCTTGCATTCAGTCGGCAGGCTCAACCCCAGAACCTGAACCATGTGAAAATGCTAACCACTGTTTTATCTCTGTGTCTGGTGGAACTGTTCTGCATTTCAATTGCTACTAAATGCTTTTCAGTGTCATAAACAAAACAAAAAATTCAAAACATAAGCAGAGTTTTCCTCTGTTTTTGTCAACTAGAAAATCCCTGTAAGACATAATTATATAATCAAATAATAAATATCCTTGTGATCTTAACGAGGTGACTGCTACATTGATGTGATGTGTGATTATTCCTCTAGTTTTTGATCAACCTTACCTTCCTACCCACTGACCCCCAAAGTCCCAGCGATCAACACCGTTGGCTGCTGGTATTTCAGTGGTCACTGTGCGACCTCCCACCCGATCTGCATGGCACACCAGAGATGATTTAGTTAGAGACAATATCATAGCTAAAGAATCCAGTAAATGACCCTCATTTCAGCTTACCCATTGCTTTGAATTTTTACAAACCTTTTCCTTCCAGTATCAGTATTTTCAACTTGGCATTCCTTTTTCTGAGCAAATGAGCTGCGCTCAGTCCAGATAGTCCTGCGCCAACAATAATAACGTCCCACATTTCTGCAGTCATAGTCGAGCTCAAGTGACTAGGAAAGAGAAATCCAACTTCTTTTCCCTTTTCTTCTCCGTATCAATCGGGTTATCTTGCAAAACCAGGGCTGCTTTCATAAAAGTGCACTTTGGAACTGGGAACAACTGAGCTTGTGACCTACTTGGCAGAGAATTGGCAGTGCAAACTGAAACTCCAGCAGTGAAAGCTAGGAGAAGGCTTCAGATTTTTGAACAGTACAATTCATGCACATATTAATTAGTTAAATGATAATATAGTAATTATGTTGTTCTCTTAGCAGGCATAATATGGTATTTTGTATTACCAGTATGAGTATAAATGCATTTTATTTGACTATGCTGTGACATAAATTACTTTTAATGTAAGTCGTTCTATACTGAAGGCTATACTGGACCATTCTTTCTTTGTAGCAACTTTGGCCAAGACAAGCCTGATGTGCCCAATAACCTGTTTTGAAAAGAGATAAAGTCTGATGTTTTTTTTCAATATTTACAATCAAGAGATTTTTTAATTGGAAAAACTCCAACTGGGACACACTTAGAACACATCCCTTACCCATTAATAATTGACATACAGATTGAACTAATTACTAGCTAATCAGTAGCAAAATTCATGCTGTAGCCAGTATGGCAAAAGAGAATATTATATATGCCAATATAAAAAGAGCCTGAGCTTGGAGAACATATTTAGAATGACACATGGGGGGTAGGGTGCTGGTCCTCAATCCTATAGAAAATGAATCAACATACTGTATATCTTTTTTCAAACCCTAGACAGAAGGGTGAAAATAAATCTGGACCCAGTTTGAGCCTGCTGGAGTAAGTGTGGAGTACAGTCTGCAAACTGCTTGTATGGTTTTGTTTTGGTTGTGTCCCAAGTAAATTAACTTCTAGGCCGTCGTTCTTTTTTATGAATGATGTTCTGGAGATATTCCCTGTAAAGGGATCCTACAACTGCCCTCGTGTGAGTAACCCCTGAACATGGTACACTCAGACTTAGTTACATGCACCTTAATATTCTTCGGGTTACAGGAAGGAAACAGGGGACATTAGCCCAGCGAGGATGGACCTTCAACAGGAGAATGGACAAGCAGATTTAAGGTACGAAAGTGTGTGTGTGTGTGTTCTTGACTTAGGCTACCTTCGGGGGACACAATTCAGACAAAAGACCAGTTAATTGGGGACAGCTTGTGCAATTGCAAACAAAAGGTGTGTCCCCGATTTGGAAGAAAAAAAAAGACAGTGGTTAATGTTAGGTCGATGTTAGGGTTAGGCTAGTAGTGGGTATGGTTAGGGTACGTCTCCAGGAAATGAATGTAAGTCAATGTTATGTTCCCAAAAGTGTGCTAAGTAAACATGTATGTTTGTATGAAGGCCCATAAATAAACAGAATGGAAAAAAATGTAAACATGAATGTTGTGTCACAATATAACTCAGTATGGATCCACTTGCTCTCATGTACTCACTTTGTATTTGTTCTTTTTCTTCTTTTGTCATTTTTGCATGTATAATATCATTTTTGCAAACTGCTGGGAGTAGACAGAAAAACAAAGTTTGAAAAAATAGAAAACAGTGAATTGTCAGGCCTATGGATGTAAACGATATTAATGGTGTGAGGTGCAAATTGTAGCTTGACATAAAGCACCTGTGTAGAAACCACAGTGTTACTATACATGCCAAAGAAAAAAGGTTGGAATGTAAAATCAATCAGGTCAGGTGCCCGACATGGTACTGTGCTAATTCTGTTGTACATCTTATAAAACAAGAACCACCTTGGGTGTCACTTGGCAGGTTCATTTTCACCCACGTCCTTACGAAATGTCAACAACATTCATATCAATGTCCAAAGAAGTACTGAATTTCTTTTTTAAAAGAGTAATACGTTATAAAACAGAAACATTACACCAAGCTAACAAGGGTTCGTGGAACAAGTAAGATTTGAATGTTTTCAAGCACTCGTGTATTAATTCAAGCAGTGAAACTCCCTGCTGTATACACGTGGAATGCCTGTTTCAAGTGTCTTTATCTATTTGTATCTACTTAAGCTATTTTCTAGCTCTAAATCAAAGAGAAACCAAATTGGTATGTTCGTGTACATGGTGTGCAACTACTTAGGCAAGGCCGAACACTCATGTTGCACAATGGTTACACAAATGTGTGTTTGTATTTTAAAAGACAGAATGGTCACGATTGTTTTCAGGCAATCATTACCTACATTCAAGTGGATTGTGTAACTGTGTGCTCTGGAGTAAACTTAAATCTCCACAAAACTTCACACCACCCTCTCTCACCTTGAATGCAACACCTACAAACTGACCACCAGCACCTCCTTCTGTACCTTGACTCTTGACCTCCTAACCAATGAATGCCAGTCTGTGAGGTTAGACAACCACACCTCTTCTCACTCTGAGCCAGAACGCTGGAGTTCCAGAGGGCTGTGACAAAGAGACGGTTTACAGGGACGAGGTCCAGCACCTGGCCCTCAAAACAAAGAAGACCATTGAGCGCATAGCGGCTGAAGACAAATGCCCTTTTGCATCAATGGAGCACATGTGGAGCGTGTCTTAAGTGTTAACGGGTGACTACACCTTCAAATTCTGCTAGAGCCCTTCCTACCAGAATGTTTTTAGAATTCAACAGAGGAGTGAGGGAGCAGCGACTGCAGAAGGCGTGGCCTCGTGGTTACTTAGCATGTGACATGGGGGGTTTAGGGGACACGAGGGAGACTGTCTAACCATCCCTCAGTAGCATGGATAGAGATGCTGGTTTTTAAGGTTACCAGCCATGACAATCTGCTTTTTTGTTTTTTTGCATATATATATATATATATATATATATATATATATATATATATACAAGTATATACACAGGTCACAGGTTCCCGGCTTCCCACCATCATGTACATCCAACACGGGATACTTGCTGAGGGCACCCAAGTATATCCCGGCAGGCGAACATATATACAGTTTATAGCAATAAATACAACACAGCTGCATAAACTGTGTTTCATTGTACTGGTACCTACTGTGTGCATTGACAGTAAAGTTAAATCCAATCTAACTTCAGTTTAGTGGTTGGCATGTAGCGTACGTTACAAATGGACGTCCTGAACCATTTCTTCGAATGGTTCTTTTTTCCATATTGAAGTAATTAGGAAACAGTGAGAGTACCAGCTCCATGCTTTTAAAGCAATTACATACAATTTCCTCCAGCAAAGGCCATCCCATTCCTGGACAAATGTTGCTTTCCAGTCAGTTTAGTTGGTTTTTAGATGACTCTGTCTCTGTAAATCCACATGAAGATTTAAAGAAGTGGCATTTAGTGATATTTCTTATACACTTGGAGATAAGGCTTTTTTATCGTTATTAGTAATCCATTCTCTACATGTATCCGCTGAGGGACACCCCACCCTTACTCATTTATAAAAGCTCTTTCCCCTGTAGAGATAAGCTCTGTGCATTCTTTTCATACATCTTGGTGATGTATACAAACCTAGCAGGCTCATGTTTTTTGGCTGAACAACCAGTTTCTTGTCACTTGAGACCTCATGCATTCTCTTTGTCTTCCTTATTATTTGAAACCACAGACATCTGACAAATGAGTAGTGCTGAAGTGGTGTGTGGTGTATTGTGTATCCAACTAATAAGTAGGGTGCAGTGGCTGTATGTTTCCTTGTGTAGGTGGAAGCAGTTGATCTTCTGTATTTTCAAGTTTGAGTTTTTGTTTTTTTACCAAATAAGTAAATAGTTTTGACAATAGTCAAAGCAGCATTGGGTTGCAGATGTTTTGCTTTCAGTACAGTTCAGTCCTCATCAAATTAGCACCCTGAGTTTACGTCTAATTGTATGCTTGTTCCACCAGTTCCACTTGTTTACCAATGGATTGCTATTGTTATCCAGCTGCCAGGGCGATGATTTCCTTTTTTAAATTCTAATTTGATTAAAATCGTATTTCACATAATTTAGTTTAATTTAGTTGTGGTAATTGCGAAGCGCTCGGAAAGTATTCGGAAAAGTCAGAGGGTGTTAAAGGCAACATTAGCAGCTGAATGGCATCACCAAGGAAACCTCCTTGTTAACAGGTAAAACAGGTGAAGAAACCGTCCAATCAGAAGGTTTTGTGGTGAGGAGGACGTTAAGGAGGAGCTCCCTTTAAAGCAGGAGCTGCTGCTTTATAATCCATTGCCAGACGTTTGGATGTAGGATCTGCATTCAGGTAATATCTGTAGAACCTTTCTGAACAGCTTGTTGTTCTACAAACATGCTTTTTTCATTCCTCCTAAATGTGTATATAGTTGTCTACCGTTCTTATCAGTTTTGAAAATCAGTTCCATGTGTCAAACATTTGAAGCCCCGGTACTGTGCATTTGTGGAAGTCTTTTTTTTCTTTTTCTGTAATTTTGACAATTGCTCTCCATGATTTGATCTCAAAACAGGACCACTATGTTAAGAGACAGTTGCAGTCGTTTGATCTCAGCTTTCTTCACGCCTGTCTCCTTGCTTTGCACTGCAAGTCTCTTGACCACAGGTAACAATACAGACACACAAGTGCATTAAGCACACACATGCAGAAACGGTGACTGCTCTCGATCTTATCAACTCTTTCATGACACGTTATTGAATGAAGCATCTTTCTTGACATGCTCATTGAGACCCTCATGGCTCAATTCTTGTGAACGCTGCTGAGCCATAGGGCTCAGTGATGTACGCTCCCCCACGTGCCTCAAGATGACTCCCTAATGTTTCAGGGAATTGAGCTCATATGTTTTTCTTTCTTCTTAGGTCGGGCTCTTAAAAGACTGAGCTCCAGATCTCAAATACATATCTACTTTCAAAAACATATAAAGTAATATGAAGGGAATATTTTACATTTAAAGATAGTGTTTGTAATCTTGAGACACTAGCAAGAGTATTTTAGATTTTGAAAAAATGATCTGACTGAAAAACCCAGCCTCGTGTTGCCATTAACTCTTTTCCAATGAAAGTAGTTCACCAGCTCCAGATGTCTCTACATCTACCAAGTTGGCAATGCTGACAGCCCGTTCCTTCAGTCCTCTCTCCAGAGCAACTCCCCCACAGTTAGAAACATGGCTATTGTTAGTTCTCACAGCTGTCAAGTTAGCAGCTTGTGAAAGACTCCGGTGATGCGCAATGAGCGTACGGTCAGAGTGCGGGCCGATAGGCAGGTAGGTGGCGGTTAGCCCGTCCAATCATTTCATTCATGCTAAATGAATAGATTGCACGTGTTTATTACAGTGCTGGGACAGCCTCAGATACCAGATGTGATTCTTTTCTTCTTGTGAGAGCACTTGAACAGCATTTGAATTATTGATTGCTGTCACGATGTAATGATAATGTCAACAAATATAATATAATATATATTTGAAGAAGATTACCAATCCTTGCTTTAATACAAACATGTAACAGTTGGAATAATTTAATATGCAAATTCCTGAACACCATAATTATTTCCTCCAGGCCACATGCTCCTGAACAGCCATTGTGAGTCTAATTCAAGCTTTCTTGAATGAAAATGAAGAATACAAAACAAACCTTAAGGGAGCTGTATTTAACATACAGCAGCAAACAATTATAACACACACACAGAGGGAGAATGATTTCAAGGCTTTTTAAATCTGTCTCTATGCTCCACATTGAAAAAATGTAATCCGGAAATTAGGTAATTCATTGCACTCCATCCCAATGGAGCCCCTACAAGATGTTTAGCTTGTGGAAAGACGGTAAAAGCTGTGTCATGTTTTGTTCATACCTGACCTCTGATTTATTTTTCCCTCTGGAGCACTCTGAGAGAAGAATTTGGATTAATATTAAACTTATCCATAAAACTGTGTGCATGGGCACCGTAAACTGTGGCTCCATGAGCGTGGAGAAAGGCTTGCTGGATAAGAAAACACAATATGTCTCTTTGAGGATTACAATAAGGGATTTAGAAACAACAAATATGTTTCTTGGATTATTTTCAAGGCTTATCTGAATTTCTTCAGAATTGAGATGTGTGCGAGGGATGCAGGTGACATCCACAAGTCCGCAGACCATCCAGAAGGCAGAGGGAGAGAGCGTGACTTTGGGCTGCAGTTACACACCAAGCCCTTCTGACACCGGAGAACTTGACATAGAATGGACTGCGGTCAGTCCAGACTCCACGCAGACAGATCAGATGGTGAGACGCAGAATGAGAATGGTGGGAATTGTACTGTAAATGTATAAACATGGTCTGATATATTGAGGTTGTAAAGCAGAATTCATTTGGAATTCATGCTAAGGCACCTGAAGAACATTCACTTAAAAACATCTAATTATTTTCTGTCTCATGTAGTGTGTTTTTGACTCTACAATTCTAAATCAGAATTAAGTCCAGTGTGGACTCCTAACACCTTTTTATTTTCACAGGAAGTAGTTGTTTATCCAATTTGCCTTTTAAATGAAACGAGTCATTAGTGTTGGAGACTTTCCCTCACCTCTGCAGCAGACGTTGTTTTTATCACAGTCAATACAAAGAATAAACAGGCCCAGATACGTCCTGCTGTAGACAAGTAGCCAGTGCAGACTATTGGTTCAGCAAATGGACATGCTTTGTGCAGTCAAACACTTAAACAGAACAGGTTTTACAAGCTCGTTATTCTACATGAATCTAAACATTTATCCACTGCAAACCTAAAGCTGTCGTAATCGATCTTGTCTAAAAGATGAGCTGACGAGCATGAAGCCCTGACATATTATCACATTATAAATTGCTATGTTAATGACAATCGGCGATCCAGGAGACAGGAAACAACATTATCATCCCAATAAGACGCAGGGCAACGTTAGCGTTCATCTGGGGCTGTGTTTCTCTCCTACAGATCAATGTCACTCCACAACAGTATACATCGGGTTTTTATCTCTGTGCTTTAGTCTCCATGAGCAGAGAATAATATATTCTTCTTTAATTGCGAGACTTGCTCAGATCTTCACTAACGTTGTCTTTGCGGTGCCAGGCAGGCACCTTTAAAAAGGCTATTTGTTTTAACATTAGCAGCCCCAAGGGACAGTGCTTGCAGTGGGTTTTGTGAGAACTTGTTTGCCAAAACCAGCTGGCTGCTATTGCTGGAAACAAGATTGTTGAGAGTGCAGTGACTGAACCATACAGTAAATGTAAAGCAAAAGAATGGATTGAACACTGGTTTACATGAACTTATTGACTCTTTGTTTCTATTTTGTTTTCCTTCAGCTCATGTCATACACCAGCGGAACTACACACATTCATGGTAACCACGCTCCTGCAAAAGGGCTAAGCTTTGCTGCTACTGACCCCTCACTGGGTGACGCTTCCATCTCAATCGCTGTGCTGTCGCCTGCTCATAGTGCTACCTACCAGTGTAAAGTGAGGAAACCCCCTGGAGTAGACTCGAGCAAGGTGTCACTGGTGGTATTGGGTAAGACTGGGCATCGGGGTTGCATCCTTGGGTTAGCACATGTACCTGGCACACATTCACTTTGAACATTTTGAGTTGCCTGTATCAATGATTGCCATTTCCTTTTCACATGCCAGTATAGATTACATTTACAATTTGCCACAAAGCTAATTTAAATGTACCTGCTATTAGGCATGTTTGATCTTTTAAGACTACTACGTTACCACAGAGAAGTGTATCCATTAGTGGTTTGTGGAGGTCAAGGGCACCTGGATGCCAGTGAGAACTAACATAATTGCTCTCTCAGTGTCTGCTGTTATCAAAGGCTGTTACCAGTCAGATACTATTCCTTAAAAGAAACAATCCTTCATTTGATGAGGTGTTGCACCATAAATTCAGGTCAAATTCAACAATTTTCAAATCCCTAGTGCTTAATAATAAAATACTCTTGCTATGTGAGAGCATGATTTGTTCTCTTTTGAGCAGCACGACTCAAACAACATATTATAAACAAGCATCACCTCTCTCGACCATTTTTACACCTTTAAAAAAAAAAAAGAATTCCCAATACAAATATATTTCATTCGTATAGCCTAATATCACAAATCAAAAAATATGATACAGGGAAAATAAAGGAAGAAACCTTGAGGAAAACAACTGAGGATGGTACCCCTCTCCCAGCATGGGCAGAAGTGTAATAGATGTCATGTGCACGGAATTAATAACATAACAAAATCACAACATTGTCAATCCATACGACAGAAACAATACATATAATGAGAGTAGTAATGCGATATGCACAGCCACGCACGGACCAGATGTAACCACGATCCATGGAAACTTGTAAGGCGGGAAAGCACAAGTGGAAGCTAGCTTAGCAGCTGAAGGCTTTGGCTCCCGTTCTTCTTTTGGAGACTCAAAGAACCCCCACTGACTCTACATTCTGGGAGCACAGTGCTCTAGTGTGGTGAAAGGGTACTACAAGCTCTTTAAGATATGATGGTGCCTGACCATTAAGGGTAGGTGAGGAGAAGGATTTTAAATTATAATCTTTTTGCAATGTTACATCGGTTGTAAAAGGCTGTCCTTGAAGTTTGTTTCATATGATGGTTAAAGGACATGGTCCTGATCAAAGATAACTCAGATATTCTTTATGGTGGTGCTGGAGGACAATGCCACTTAGAGAAACCATATCATTCATCTTGGAGGTGTTCGTGGCCAAGTACAATAGCTTCTGCTTTGTCTGATTTGTCCTGAAGACATGCTTTGGAGTTTAGATAACTGGTTGGTTTAAACTGGCTTGATCGATATATATAATTGGGTATCATCAAGTTTATGGTTTATTTCTCGTAACAATTACCTCAAAGAAGCATATATATGGTGAATGGAATTGGTCCAAGCACAGAACCCTGTGGAGCTACGTGACTTACTTTGGCACACAAAGGATTAATTGTTTGCATGTACAAACTGGGATTGATCTGACAAATAGGACTCAACCCAGCTTTATGTGGTTGATTTTAATGACGATTTAATGTTCCAGTCTCTCTATTAGGATGCTGCCTAATGCTGACTGTTTCATGGTCAATGGTTTGACCAAACAATCTTAATCTCATGCTCCATCTTCTAGGTTTTTCTGGAGATTCTACCTGCATGGCACTTGAGATTGCTTTATCTAATGATGGAGCTTTGACATGGATAGCTGCAGTCATAATTCTGACCATTGTGATTCAATTAATTAACTGAAGGAAGATGGCTCGAGAAAGGTCTGTTTCCCTGAAACTGATACTGATTGAGTTGATGAGATACTTAAAAAAGGCGACTATAATTCAAAATGACACCTCACTTAGAGCCATTTGTCAGTGGGTTCAGTCTTAAAATCTGCCAGAGGGGTGAAGTAATTTATTTGATTCTAGTCCAACTCATCTTGTTTGAAGAGCATGAGCAGGAACTGGGGTGGAGGAGGAGCTCACCACATTGGCAGATTCATTTATTATGATATGACTGGAGACTATATTAAATAACCTCCTACAAAGATGTTTCAGGATATCAAATAATTGGCCACATTAAAAAAACAAAACTCTTTCAGGAGCCTTGTGGAATAAATCTAAAGGACGGAATATCGTCTCCCTCAGACATAGTTCTAAAGGACTATTTTTACACTTATTTTAGGGCAACTCATTTTTTTCAGATGACCAATCAGAGTTACAGGTTGAAGGAGCACTGATTACGTTGTATTTCTCAGTACAACCTATAAAAGATGCAGTGCTGTACACATGAAACCTTGGCAGTTATTGTAATTTCCTTTCCAAAACCTGAAATTCACAAGACTACCACAGCGCCTCAAACATTTATTTTTCCTCTTAAAGTTCATCTTACAGCTGGGCCAGTTTGGATCAAATGAAGTGAACTCATTCTTGATGAAAACTGACAGATGTTGAATGGTAATCTTTAGCGAAGCCTCACATAACATATCCTTCAGACAACCAGAAGCTGTTTTTATCCAAACAACAAAACAGACCTAAGAGCCAACAAGTCATTTTATTGGTCAGGTTCTTTTTATGACCTCGAGCAGGTTAAGTGATTCAAAGAATGCATAAATAGATGGATAGTATTCCGTATTTTATGATATAAATGGTGAACGCACTTAAATGTGTGAAATGTTGTGGACCTTCAGGTCAGTCTCTCCAAGCGTATCTTGTTATGTCATTTATTTCACCCTAACTAAAACCTATTTTTGTCCTCTTTCAACTTCCAAACCAGTACAGAACTCCTTGTTTCTTCTTTGCCATCTTTAACACCTCAGGCTTGCAATCTATAAAGATTTTAGATTTTTAATACACTGTATATGTGTAATGTGTAATGAAACAAATGTTGACATCATCCATTTATTTGGTCTAAAACTGTAGAAGCCCAAATCAAAAGCTAGAGAGCTGAACTGTTTTCAGAGAAAAAGACAAGAATAGAAAGGAATGGTGATTTCCATTTGTTGTTGTTGTGATTTCAGTGAACCCCTCTGTGCCTGAGTGCTGGGTGGAAGGAGCGGAGCTGGTCGGAGAGGCTGTGTCTCTGTGCTGCAAGTCTGAAAAAGGCTCCACTCCCTTAAAATACTCGTGGAGGAGAGAAGGTGCAGGCCCATCCCCTGCTGCATCCACACAGAGTAAGTGTGACCTCTGCTGATGTCATGATGCTACTACAGCTCAAGGTGTGCGTGTGTGTGTGTGTGTGCGTTTGTTTGTATGTGTGTTTGTATATGTGTGTGTGGGTGTGTGCCTTTACGTGTGTGTTGCTGTCTGGGCCTTGGGTCAGGTTAAGTATTGAATGCTGTGTGAGCAAAACTCAATGAAACCCCTTTTACTGTTGAATGTTCAGTGCAGCAGCCTTACATAATTGTGATTAGCCCTGGTGCAATCTTTCCCTTGGACCTCTGCCCAAACACAAAACGCACGCTTGTGCGCACACACACACACACACACACAACCACTCCAGACAAACTGCAGGGTATACAGCACCACAGACGGCAGCCAAAGCCCCAAATTTATCAACGCTAATTTCAAAAGCCTGCCCTGGACTCAGAGGCCAAGTGTTAACACGGACACAGATTACAGTGGGTGTGCATTTTCCAACATTACGAGAGGTAGCGATGACATGGCTATAGATTTCAATCCCTGATCCCACTCCATAATAACAAAGAGGAACGTCTGCTCGTCACTTAGGAGTCCATCAGGGCCTTGTGCTCAGCAAAGTGATTAACAGCATTGCTCAAGAGCCGTTTCCTTTGCGATTGAAATGTATGATACGCGATTGCTGCAGGAGGCTGGAGAGAGATCACCAGGGAGCTTAACGTTACTCGCTGTTGACTGTATTGTGTCATTTTCAGTAAATATCAGTCAAATTTCACAATATAAAATGTGTCTTTTCTGCTTAGGCCCCCGGCAGCTTCGAGGCACGTTTACGTCATTGGGACACTGTGTGCTTGTTATTTATTTTCTAAGATAAAGGAATCAAGGAATTTATCAGTATTCATTCCGATTTTGAAAATCATGTGAATTAAATAAACATTTCAGGTAAAAGTATTAAAAATAATTAACGATTTGCAGCACAACACTCTGTTTAACAATTGATATTCTACTTGAGGGACTCACTGTGCATGAACAGAAGATCATTTACATTTTCTCATCATTTTCTTTTCACTCTTTATAACACAAAACATTTCCCGAAATGTTGATGACATTTACTGTAAACCCTGTGATTAGTGTCTTCTTGCAGCATGCAGACATAAAAATATGTGCGAGCAGCTCTTCTCCTGTCATGAACAACGCGTTTTAAGTATCACTTCAACGATTCTACTTCTACTTGTACATGTCTTAATCTGTGTTGGCGGGTGTGTGTTTTCATCAGACAGCATGACTGGGGAGCTGAGAATCACCAATCACTCGCAGAGCGTGGCAGGATTCTACCTTTGTGAGGTTAACAATGCTGTTGGAGCTGAACACTGCAGGATCAACCTGAAAGCAAAGAAACGTAAGGAAACGCGCCTCCACACAGAATGCTCCTGTCCACATGCATCGCACATCACGCACGCATGCCAGCATGAAATGACCTTCATCCTCTTCTCTTTCTTTTTGTAGTTGCGCCACAGTCTCATCATTGCTCCGCTTCTCATCATTGCTCCGCTTCTCATCATTGCTCCACTTCTCATCATTGCTCCACTTCTCACACTTCTCACACACACACTGCGCTCCGTAGCATCCGTTTGCTCTCCTTATTACGTTATCTAATGACAGAATAAGGTCACAGTCAGTGGCAGGAAATCACTTTATTCACAGAAGACACAAACTTTTTTTCACCATCCGCTCTTCATCTCTGATTCCTGCTGCTGACTCACAGAGTCAAACATGAGTAATGCTGAACATACTCCTCTGCTTTATATTTACTTGAGGAATTGTTTTTAAAAAGATACGAGTTAATGGCAGCAACAAAAAGCAGGTGGACTCAAGCAACTGATACAATGTAAAAATGAATCCATGAAATTATTCATGAGTGATACTTCTGAACAGCTTTGAACAAGAATGAAACAGGAGAAATACCAGAGCTGTCCTACATCAGAATACATCTGGTGACTAAAAGTGCACCAGGAGTAGAGAGTTACTCACAGTTATTTAGTATATTTTTATAGAATAAATCATCTCTGGGTTTAGTCTCAAACAATCCATCTGCATTCTGTGGATCCATAAAATGTATTTGTCTTTGTGCCTCATGATCTGTGGAGCAGACTACTTATGTTACATTTTGCTGAGTCCGTCACTTTGATTTTCTTTTGGCTTCGGAGGGAATCATTCATTTTTTCGTTTCAATTGCAGAATGCTGCGCTAAACAGAGGTTCCAACCCTTCGGCTCAAGACCCCCCCACTAAAGGGGTTGCAATATGATTTACTAGATATTATCGAATAAGATCACAATTGCTAAGCATTATTCACTTTATTTTTTCAATTTTCTGGATTTATTTGTGGTATAATTGATCATTTTACCCCTCCAGGCCTTTAGAAACATTGAAATGAAACAATCAGAGTCTGAGGCTCATAAACATGCTGAAAGAATTTATCTCCATACTTTTTGTGTTAGACAAAAGAAAACCCCAACTTAAATAGGATGAAGACACAAAGAGGCACGATGATTGAATAAGATGTAGACATAAAGATGCAAAAACACAAAGCCTTTAAGAAACAGTGACATTTTGAGAAATACAGGTATTGGATGTCTTACCAAGAGTTAGATGTGAAGGTGTATATACTGCGCCCTACCAAGAAATAGTCCCGTTACATGTCTGAAGTCTTATCATCACTGTAAGGTTGCAACCAGCAGAGAATCCGGCAAGTTCGACACATGTAAAAAAAACCTGTAAAAGCTTTAAAAGTGCTGTTTCTGTGCCTCTGGAGAGAGCCAGGCCAGGTAGTTTCCCTATTTACCTGGCTGCTGGCAACTGCTTCATACAGATGACAGATGACGGTAATTATCTTCTTGGGAACTAAGCAAATAAGCTTAGTTCCCAAACTGTTGAACTAAGCCGGTACGATAAGGCTAGTGAGTGATAAGTGGACATTTAACAATACATCATTTTAATTGGACAATCTAAATTCTAAAAAAATAAAACACATTTTGAGACATTATAATCTCAGAGAATATCTACGTTTTTTCCCAGAATATAACCCCCCCTCCCATGGCTTCTTAATACAAAAAATATTTAATTGCCCAATGACGCCGTCGTAGTGCTGGGGTGTTGAAGATATGTTTTAACTTGGAAGAGACACAAGCCAAAACAAGCCAGTAATCTCTGCACTTCACAATACAAATAATCTAGTTTGATAGATTCTTCACACTTTGTTCTTTTCTACCACAAAGCTTCTGAGAGAATAATTCTTTGTTATTCGTGCTGATTCGTTACAGCCCCAAACAGAGCGGCAGTTATAGTCGGCACTGTTGTGGGTTCTCTGCTCCTCATCTTCATCCTGCTGGTCTTCATCGGGATCCTATATTGGAAGTTGAGCAACAGACATCGCTTCGAGGAGGAGTTCTCCAATGACATCAGGTGCTGAACAGTACAGCAGGGACAGCAGGGCACAGTTACAGGTGGTGGCAGCTTGACGGTTAGAGATGTAAGATACTGGAGGAAGGGAACCAATCACACACACTGTCAAGTTTCTGCCATTGATCATTTTGTAACCAAAAAGTCCCGTGATTAGGACACTTTTTGTTGACTGTTGAGTAGTTTTGTCAGCTCTGCTTAAGTTAAAGTTTATATTTTATTTCTCTGTGTTCATCTATACTCTTAGTTATGCAGATCTTCGGTCTCACATTGTGCGGAACAATTTAACGAAATCCTGTTGATCCGGTTTTACGAACTGATTTTCTCCAGGTCTGTTGATGCAAATATAACCCACATTGTAAATAACACAAGTTCCGCTTTGACCTTCATCTGAAAGCCTAAGTAGAATCTATTCAAAGTTACCATCTCTTTCTTCTTGTCCCTCTTTTCTGTCTGTCCTTCGAGTTGGAAACATGAGAGGCTTTCATTGTGTCAACAAACACTCTTGGGAGTTCTCGTCTTAGATTTGCAGCATTTATATACAATTCATTAAATCTCAAAACAACATTGAAAAGTGACATTTCAGAATTCCTCTTCGACTTTAAAAAGACTTTCCTGGGTACAGCTATTGTATGTCTAGTTAATTACCAGTCGTGACAGAATGTGGCTGGTATTGTTTTCACCTTGTAATTCTGTGTGTGTGTTTGTGTGTTATAATGGCAAAATGTGGTCCTGGAGACACATATTGTAGCGTGTACTAGCACAGAAATGGTTTTGAGTACTTTGCCAGGTGTTTTTTGTCAAAGCAATAGCGTCACAACTGTGCAAAATACAGTCACAAAACTTAGCAGCGATGTAGTTGAGATCAAAATGAGGGCCGAAGTAGGCGCATAGGAAGTACGGAATAATTTTTAATAGCTTAAACAATCGGTATACATGGCAACATGGTAATAAAGGGCCAAAATCAGAGGGTAATGATCGGGAAACACATTTAATGACTGCAACGAGATAAAACTATTTAGTAACAGTATAGCAATGTTTTGGTAACAATATGATTACCAGCAAACAATACAATTGTTAAATCGGTGCAATATTTGATTCAAATTGGTAATATGGTGAGATTATTGGTGCAATAATCTGATAATAATGAGGTATAATAGGTTGATGTTTTCAAAATATTTTAGGCTATATCAGGGTAATACCTTCAAAATCACATGAAAATGCTTGGAAGTCAAAATTGTTAAACACCATGTTACAATGCTGTAGTTCGTCCTCCCTCATGTTCCCAACATTTATTTTTATTTTTAGACAATAAAAATGACATTTTTACTGCTAAGACTTGTTATCTGGAACCACACTTTGACATTTTGGGAAATATTCCTATTTACTCTCTTACAGCAAGTTAGATAAGATGCTGTGAGTATCATATCTGTCCATTAAATATGAATCTACAGGCAGGAGACGGACAGCTTAGTGTAGCATAAAGCCTGGAAACAGGGAAACCGTTACCACAGCAACATCTTCCTACCCGCACCAACAACATGTTTTATTGGGGTTATGTGCCTGACAATTGTTTTGCTCTGAGCAGTGACAGGGCAACCAGCAGAGACTCCAGAAGTTGCTGTGCCTGGGGAAGAATTCTTCCGACTCTTAATCCCTGTAGAACACATATTGTTGTTTTTCCGCTTAATTTTTTTATAGAAAGTTGAAGATGAAATATGTGTTTATTAGTGAGCTCTAAGGGTGCTGGAAGGTGCTTTTTTGTACCACTGGCTAGAGCAAGGCTAGATGTTTTCCCCTTACAGGTCTTTTTGCTAAGCTAACTAGCTGCTGTCTGTAGCGTTACATTTAACGGGAAGAGTGGTATCAATCTCACCTAACCGAAAATGTGGAACTGTTGGTTGAATGACCTTGTTGTATCAGAAGAAAACATGACAACATGTAACAACTTTGTACTTTTCCTCTCAGTTTTCCTCTCTTTTCCCGCGCCAGCTTTCCCATCCTGCACATAATGAACATATTTCAACATATCTTTAAACTCTCTTTCCTTTAGCTGAATGTGAAGGTTTTGCCTGATATGCTCAAGTTTAGTCCAGTATCTTCATGATACATGTCAAGAATGATTGGAAATGCCACCCAGAACCAATTACATTTTTGAAAAACAAAGCTAAGAAGTGAGGGAGACAGGCTTCAAAGACATTCATCAGGCTTCAGTGTCAGTGGAGGTATTTGGCAATGTCTTGATTTTCAATGTGTGTCGAAGGTGATCCGTGCACGACCAAGGACAGGAGAGCTCTGCAGCGAGAGAAAAGTGCCCAGTTTCTCATTCGACATCATAAAAATGTAACAGATATTAGCAGAGTGAACAGCTGGCATCATGAAAAGAGATCATTATATTCTTGAATAAAAAAAAAAAAGTCTTACTAAGAATGAGATTGGTCAACCTGTTCCTTAAACAACTGAAACCAAACTTAAATATCTGACACAAACAGTCCAAATGAATGACAACTGATATTAGATATTAGGACGTAAATCAGTGAGCAGAAAGCAGAATGTAGAATGCAGAAAGTAGAATGTCAAATGTAGAATGCAGAAAGCAGAATGCAGAAAGCAGAATGTAGAATGTAGAATGCAGAAAGTAGAATGTAAAATGTAGAATGTAGAAAGCAGAATGTAGAATGCAGAAAGTAGAATGT